GACAGAGGACTGGATGAAGAAGTGGTCCATATATAAATGGAATATGACTCAGCCATAAGATAAGCTGAAATACTGCCATTTGCAACATGGATGGACCTTGAAAATATTATGTCAGGCAGAAAAGCAAAGAACCATATGATTTCACTTACATGTGGGAAATAAAACCGAAACTTGTGGACACAAGCAGCAATGTGGTGACTGCTAGAGGGAAGGGGGCCTAATATATGGTGACAGAAGATGAATTGACTTTGGGTGGTGGGCACACAGTGCAGTATAAAGATCTTGTAACATAGAAGCCCACGCCTGAAACCTATATGATCATATTAACCAATGTCACCCCAATAAATTAAAAAAAAAAAAAGGGAATCTAGGCATCCATGAGAAAAAAAACACCACCCAAAAAACCTGATTATAACACTCGCATGCTCAGCCACCTCCTCAGTCTGGAATGTAGACTTCTGTTTCCTTCCTACAACAAGCGGAGGAGTAATGGCAAATGGTATTCACCCCTTCTGAGTGAGCCAAAGGCAAAGGTTTCCCCTTCTTAGTTGGGTATCTTAACACTTTTAATTTCCATTTGGTCGTTGCATCACAAACTTCCCCTTCCAGCGCTGATCTCCATGCTGAGAGCAGGCCCTGCCTTTGTTGCGGCCTTGCTGGAGCCCCCCGGGTTCCCCGTGGAAAGGGGTGTCCCCGCCAAGCCATCAGAGCCCACCTTCTGCCGTCAGCGCAGCAGCTTCCCTTCCTCTCCTTCCTCTAGACGGAGAGCCGTCTGTTCTTGCATTTCTCAGACAGATGCTTTGAGGACACAGCTTTCCTGAATATTTTTACTTGTAAACGTCATGCCTTCAGATTTTACTGTCTGACTGGCTTCCTTCCTTCTAGGAACCAAACTGACATCACTAAAGTGTCCTCCCTTTCCTCGGGCCTCAGCTGTCTCATCTCATCCTGAAAGTCAAAGAGATTGCAAAGAGATTGGGACTCAAGGGGACTCTCCGGAAACCTCCTGCAGATGGTAGGCGCTGGCCGAGAGCCCCGCCAACCTCCAATCTCAAAGATTCTGTGATCCAGGCGCTCCGAGTCACGGCAGCAAATTATCTTTATTTTATTTGTTTTCTTTATTGATTTTAGAGAGAGAGGAAGAGAGAGAGAGAAACATCGATCAGCCGCCTCCTGCATGCTCCCCCCCACACACACACTGGGGATTTGGCCCACAACCTGGGCACGTGCCCTGACCAGGAATCGAACTGGCGACCTCTTGGTGCATGGGTGGACACTCAACCACTGAGCCACACCGGCCGGGTGCAGCAGATGATCTTTAAAGATTCTTTTCAATTCAGAAATTCTATGAGGCTCTCTCACCAATTGTAGGAACTCAAAAACCAAGGCTGGATGTCGTCAGCAAACAGTGCTTCTGTGTTGGGGAAGCTCAGTCAGTATTTGATACGGATGAGGATTTCCAAGATGACCTTTCCCTTCCCTTTCTTGATGGGTGGTTCTAAACCTGCTGGACCAAAATCATGCCCCCAAATCTAAGAACTTGGCTGATGACTCTTAACTCTTGGGTATTTCGTATGTACGTTTTTGTCCAATTAGCTAAGCTACCCTTCAAAGAACAAAAGGAAAAACTCACTTTTCAACTGAGAAGGTCTGAAGGTCTATAGCAAACACCATACTTTGCATTTGTTCTTGTTTTTCCTTTTAAGTGAAATTCGCACAGGATCTTCAGCTCATCGGGTACCCGAGCTGGAACCCTGGTTCCTCTCTGAATGTTTCGCCTGCAGCCGGAACCAGACTCGGCCTACACAGCGCTCCTGCCCCGGCCGCTCTCCCTAGGCACCCTCACCTTGACTCACTCCTGCTGTGGAGGATACACACCTCAACACACACCAGCCCAGGTGGTGTCAGCGTGGGAGGCTACAGGGCCTGGAAAGTCAAATCCTTTCACAGGGAAGTGTTCGCACATCTGCGGAGTTGGGTGGGTGGGGGGGCGGGCTGGACAGGTGACTAAGGGGAAGGAAAGCAGCAAAGCCGGGACTCAGCACCACAAATAGAAGCTTGACGACCAGGCACAAGGGTCACGTGACCCGAGGAAGCTGACTACACACGTCACTCGGCACCGTCACTCGGCACCGGCACCGGCACCGAGGAGCCCTCCACGCTCTGCTCCAGCCTCTTCTCCAACCACCCTTCTCCCCCCTGCAGACACCCTCCGGCCCACCCCACCAGCTCACCATCCCCTCCCCCTCACTGCCCCGCCTCTGGGCAGCGGCTGGTCTCTGCTTGCTTTGGATGCCACCCTCTCACTGTCCCGTCATAAAACTCTGTTCTCTGGCTCCAGGTCAAACACCATTTTCTCACAAGGTCTTTCCAGATGGCCCCCCTCCCCGTCCTGTTGCTTATGATTTCCCCCCCTCCTGAGCTTTCAGGGTGAGCTGTTGGGACTGTCCTCTGCCTTGTAATCACTTGGGAACAGTCATTTCCCCAGTGGAGATCACACACTGCTTTAGTTGGGGTCAGTCACTTGTTTATGTTTTCTTTCACGCAACAAAGATTCACTGAGCGCCTTCCATTGATCAGGTGTCCTGGTCTCTCACTGACTTTGTCACGGCTCCGCGGAGCCGGGAAGGCGCAGAGCCGGTCCTGAGAGCAGCAGGAGGAAGGGCCGACCATGCTCTCTCGCCGCCTCTGTCCCCACCGCTCCCTTCTCTCTCCCAGCACGGTGCCTCAGCATCCCCACGCTTGAATGCAGAGTCGGTGATCGTAGCCTCTCAGAGCGTCTGCTACTTTAAGGCTCTCAGGCAAAATGCCCTCTATTTACTGGTCAGGTACTCAGCCTAGCTTCCTGACAACACAAACCGGTCTGGACTGTGCCTGAGTGACTCTCCTGAGGTCACATCATCCTGGCGGGCCACCAAAGAATGGCGGTCACTTAAGTCCTTTCCGTCGTCAGCTCTGTCACCAAGGGCCTCAAGAGGCAGGAAGCTCCTTCTGAAGGACCCCATTTCCCGAGTTACCAGCTCCTGTTCCCAGGCACGGCAGGGAGCTGCAGGGGGTTGGGGGGAGAGGTGTGGGCAGGACCCCTTCCACAGAACCCTCTAGCTCTCCATGGGGAGCACGGTGCACAGCCTGGGCGCACCCCCGGGGGAGCGGGAGAAAGGAGGGGCCGGACGTGTACACTGAAGGCCACCAAGAAAGGAAAATCAGTTTCCCACACGCCTGGCATCCGTGTTGCCAGCTCCTCCTCTCCTACCCCCCTCAGGAAGTGAGACGTGCGCACCCCAACCCTCCCTGGGGCTCCGGCACCACGCACACTTCCCGTACACACTGGGCCCAGGATCAGGTCGCTGTGACTCACTGAGGACAATAGCAAGGTCTCCAGGCACCACAGTCTGACTTGGCCTGTTTACAGAACTATTCCTGGGTCAGAGACACCTGATCCTGCTCCATTAGCCACTTCTCCAGTCTCCCCAGCGACTGTTCTGTCCTTAACCAGACACTCCCTTTCTTCCTCACTGAGCACACCCGCCAGGAGCGCCCGCCAGGCGGAGCCTCCCCAGGTACTGCTGCTTCCCGCAGCCCGCGCCTCCCCCAGGCCAGGCACCGCGCCTCCTGTGACCCTTACCACCACCCTGAGGGAGCGCTGCTCTCACAGGAGGAACCTCGCTGGGGAGGGTAAGCAGCTGGCTGTGGAGAGACGGCCTGAGTAGCTACCACCGTGCCACACTGTCCTTCCCCGCAGCAACGGTCCCCACTCCCAGCAGCGGGAGGTCTGGCCTCACCCGTGTCTGGGCCGCGTGGGCTCCGAGCGCACCTGCTACTGCAGTCTTGGCGCTGCGGTGCCCGCCAGTCTCACTGGGACTCGGGAAGCCATGCGGTGACGCCCGTACCTGCCCAGAGGCTGGTGTCTACAGGTCTTAGGAAATATTTGTTGAGTGAATAAATGAAGCTTTAAAGGGAAACGGATCGTAGGTCTGAGACCAAGCATCGTCTGCTGTGGGCACTGTACACGGCAGACAACACATGGTTTGCAGAGGCATCTTCGAGAGCTCCCTCTGGCTCTAAAGACATTCCAGAATGTTCTCAGCTCCAGAAGCGGCTCTAGATCGCCCAAGGTGGATCCACTTACAAAATCTGACCGTGCTCCGCTCCCAGCCCCTGCCAGCACTCCTCACAGGTCACTTCGCGGAACCCTCTCCCCCAATGAGCAAACAGGCTCAGAGTCACTAGACCTCAGGAGGTAAGCAGGCATCAAACCGGCTCCTTTGGACAAGTGACCCCAAGTCTCGACTGTTGGGGGATTAAACAGCATAGCAAAATTAGATCACGATCTAATCGCCAAGTTTCTCTCTTCCCCAAACCCCCAATTTTTCAGCTCTCAACATACCCTCCAGCCACCTAGGTCCAAACCGAAATCTGTAGCTGACCCAGAGAGAAGAGGGAATGCCCATTCAGAGGCCCCGAGTCCTGAGGGCCCGGTGCTGGGCCTGCATGCTCCCCCGGAACCACAGGCTTTGTTCGTCAGTGAACAAAGGCCTGTGCACCCACAGACACACACAGGACGAAGACCTGAGGGAGCCGAGCACGGGCAGAGCACCATGGGCCATGGAACAGTGCCTCACACAACATCAAACCACACGCAGCCAAACCGAAGCCGGGCGTTCTCAGCTGTTAGTCCGAGCACACTGAGATGATCTCCAGAGCATGAATGGGTGTGAGGGAGGCCTCTGTCCTTCTCAGGGCTTGTGCAGCAGGCCAGGGGGTATCCTAAGTGGGGGTACCTTTCGAATCACCTCAAGAGGCCAGAACACAGCCTGTCTTTTGCCCCTGACTGTCCCCAGCCCTTCATCAAGGGCCCTCTGTTCCCTCCTGGTGATCTTTTTGCTCCCAAGCAAGCAAGTGGGCCTCACTGGCATCCCGTGGCCTCAGCAGGCAGACGGCGGAGACGGCTGGCCCCCCCTGCCGCGGGGCCGAGCACACAGGCCACGCTGCCGGCCTACCTGGCTCACCGCTCTCCTCCTCTCAGCCTGCTCGCCACCTCTATGCAGCTCTGTCTGCTCAGCCTCCCTTCCCGGAAAGGGGCCACCCCAGGGCGTGCTGGGCCGGCTCTCCTCTGGGGTGTGGAGGTCTGAGAGTCTCTGTTCAGTGCTCAGGCACCTGACCACGTCTGACGGTCTCAAGCAGCTCTTCTTGGAGATCGTGGGTCCACCAGGGCATCGCTCACCTGCCTCCCTCTCGGCTTTCCTCTCGTACTGTCTGCTTTCTTCTCGCCATGGCTGCCTCTTACCCTGGCTGCTAAAGGCATTGCTGAGCTCCGAGATGACCCTATCAGAGCGCCCGAGCGGCGGCTGGGAGAAGCTGTCCTGCGGGAAACCCGGAGGTGGCCTGTGGACACCACTGTCTCCGTTGATGTGAAGGGAGGCCCGGGCACCGGGAGCCAGCGAGCAGGCTTTGTGTGGGGGAGGGAGGGCCAGCGGGGAAGCCCTCGAGCGAGGGGTGGACCGATCCGGCCAACTCGCATGGGGGAGGCTGAAGGACAGGGAGGGGCTGGGCCTGGCCAAGAAGGCAAGGTGGTCAGAGTAGTAGACAGACACCTCTGGCAGAGGAGGCAGAGGTGGGGTCAGGGCCAGAGGACGCCTGCCTGGGACCCCCACAGTCAGCGAGATCCACTCAGAGGTGACAGCCTGCATCTCAGGGGACAGGGCTCGGTGGGGGTGAGGAAGAGATGAAGGGGCTGGCATGATGAGCTTGCTGTGACCGGGAAACTTAAAAAGAAAAGGAGAGAGGGAAACAAAGAAGCACAAGGTAGAGTCAGCATAAGGAAAAAGAAGGGGTAGTCACAGGGATACGCGGAGAGGGGTGAAATGGAGACACGTGGGACACTCTGGCGTCCAGGAAGGAGTCCGCTGCTCAGGCTGGAGAGAACTAGGAGGTGTGTGCGTGATCGTGTGCTGGTGGGGGGATGGAAGTGAGTGCAGGGGGATGGGAGAGGGGGTCCCGCCAGGCACGTACACCTGGTGCTGGCCCAGTCTGCAGAGTCCCTTTCAAAGGGACACACTGGGAGCTCCCCGCCCCACCGCATCCAACCACCTCTGCAACCCAAGCCCTGACCCAGAACCGGGAGGGAAAAACTGTGGCCTGCTACTGCCCTGGTCTGGCCGTGGGCTTGTCTTCTCTCCAGGGGCCCAGGAAAGAGCCTTCTAGAGCGGAGCGTGAGCAGTGTAGTCTGTGTGTAGTCTCCCTTGGCTATGGTCAGGCCAAAAATCTAGTCGAGGTCCCCATGTTACAAAGTAGAATACCCAACACCAACCTCACACCCTGTCCCTGTCAGATCACAGGACACGGGGCCCGCCAATAACCATCTCCGGGGCGGCAACAGGCGGTGGAAGAGGAGAAACTGATTAGAGGAGAGAAGAGGGCACCACCCACTGTCGTCCTGGGTCCTGGCCCACTCCCCCTCCGGCCGCCCTCCCTACAATGACAGCGGCCGGTCTCTGACAGGAAGTCGCCGGCAGGCGTCTCCTGAGCACAGGGTCTGCATTTCTCCTTGGCTTAGTGGGGATGGGTTTGGAATAATTTATATTTTAAAACCAGTTTGCTCATAATTAATGTTCAGGAAAGCAAACATTTTATGATCCACTTACTTCCTTTGGTCCAGAATGGACAGAGATGCTATAAGTTACTTTTTCAACCCGGGTTCTGCTTGCAAAGAATACTCTGGGTCTGTGCCCTCTGCAGCCAACCTTGACCAACAAGATGACTGAGAGAAGCGTACTGGGCCGTGGTCCATATGTACCGTGGCGGTACCCCGCCCGCTTCACCGGATACTCCAGTACAGAGTTTTGGACCAGCTGATACTGGCTCTTACATCTCCTCGTCGTCTTATCCCCCGAGCAACCACCTTAAGCATTCCCTTTCCCCTTGAGATAATATTTCTCCAACCAAGTGTGTGGGAAATGCATGAAAACAGACCCCAGGGTGTCTACTCCCCACTGCTCGGGCCGGTTCCTAATCACAGCGCTGAGAGCCCCCCAGAGGGGCCATGCGCCAGCAGCACAGGGGTCTGTTGTGCTGACTGTGAAAACCAGTGACGAGAAGCGGAGGTACCTGTGGGCTCGTGGTGGCACTACGACTTGGGGAGGAGGAGAAAGGCAGGTCGATGTAATCCACCGGGTTTTTCACCAGCGGCCTTTTGATCACATCCACGTAGGTGATGGGGAAGATGCCTTGGCGGGACGTCCCTGGGATCCTCCCCTCGTACCAGTTCTCGTCCACCTGGCGAAGCAGCGTGACCCTCTCACCCTGTAAGACAGCAAGGCGTGGTCCGTCTCCCCAGGCCTCGGCACGCCTGCAGCCTGCCTGCGCCTGCGCTGTCCTGCCGTTTGCCGCAGTCCTTGCTCACAAAACCTTCCTTCTAGACCGGGAAAGAATTAACGGCACCGGGACAGAGACGCTGACCGCAGTGGAGCTACGTGGATGCCGGGAAGTTAAGCTTGGTCTGTAAATGTTTCCGTGAAGGAGGTCAGGTTCATTCCCCCAAGCTAGCAGGCACATGTAGTGTTTCTGACTCACTGAATGCAGAACAGACAGATATGCAAACTTCTCTCTCTTTCTTCCTTTTTATAACTTTATTTTTTTCCTGTATCATTATAGAAAAATTAAAACACAAGTAAATGTAAAGTAGAAATAATCATTACCCATAATATTGTCACTCGGGTAACCACTGTTATTGTGTGTGTGTGTGTTTTTTTTTTTTCCTTTATTGCTTTTAGGGAGAGCGGAAGGGAGAGGGAGAGAGAGATGGAAACATTTTTTTTTGTTTTGTTTTTTATCCTCACCCGAGGACACTTTTTCATTTTTTGTTCAGATAGAGTGGGAGAGAGAGAGAGAGAGAGAGAGAGAGAAACATCGATGTGAAAGGGACACATCGAGTGGTTGCCACCCACATGACCCAACCAGGGCCGGGGACAAACTGCAACCGAGGTACATGCCCTTAGCGGGAACTGAATCCGGGTCTCTCTGGACCACAGGCAGATGCTCTAACCGCTGAGCCAAACCAGCCAGGGCTGTTATTGTTTTTTGTAATGTGCCTGTGGAAATGAGGCAGGGGAAGGAGGGGAAAAGTGGAGGGAAAGGAGGGAGGAAGGAGGGGGTTGGAGGGGGTAGGAGGGGAGGAAAGGAGGGGGGAGGAGGGGGGAAGAAGGGGAGGGGAGGAGGGGGAAAGGAGAGGGGGGAGGAAGAGGAGGAGGGAGGAAAAGGGGAGGAAAGGAGGGGGGAGGAGGGGGGAAGAGGGGAGGGAAGGAGGGGGAAGGAGGGGGTAGAAAGGGGGAGGAGGGGGTAAGGGGGAGAGGAGGGGGGAGGAGGGAGAAGGGGAGAAGGGGGGAAGAAGGGGAGGAAAGGAGGGGGGAAAGGAAGGGGGGAAGGTGGGGAAGAAGAGGGGAAAGGCACCTCAAGAACCTGTGACTACTGTTAATACTTTAATATATGTACTTCCCAGACTGAATTCTATACACGTGAATTAGACTTGCACATATTTTTTTTCTTTTAAAAATTGAGTACAGACTGTATTTCCCTGTCCCAACTGACATTTTTATATTAACACATCGTGAGCCTCATTCTTTCTCAGGAAATGCAGCTCTACATTTTAACAGTGTTGCACAGCGAATGGACCACTGCGGGACGTTCTGTGGCACCAGCAACACTGATTTAGTGGCTGGTGCCCTGACGCTGGCGGCTGGGCTGTTTCCGTGCTCCTCTTTCCTCTAAGGGCTCATCTCCAAGGCATGTGCTCACCTCCCTCCATCCTCAATAAAATGAGTAACTTTAGCAACCAGAGAATTTTGACAGGAAGAGTGAATTCCTGGGAAGAACAGTGTCGGCACAGCTTGACTGTGTTTAAATAGCAAGCTGAGCCCCAGCCGGTGCGGCTCAGTGGGCTGGGTGGCGTCCATGAGCCAGAAGGGTGCCGGCTTGATCCCTGGTCAGGCGTGTGCATGGGCTGCAGGCTCGATCCCCAGCAGGGGGCATGCAGGAGGCAGCCGATCCATGGATATTTTATTTTTAAAAAATGAGGCTGAGCTCCCCTAAGGCAACACGTGGCAAGAACACTGGCGCCTCCTGCTGGCTGAGCACCGACTAGCAGCACAGTCACGCGGCGGGCTTCACAGAGGCTGTCTCATTCGATCCTCTTACAACGGCTCTCTGAGAGCCCCTCACCTTCACTTCACATGGCTTGGAAAAGTTATTTAACTCCCCGAAGCTGCTCGCCGATGACTTTGGCTTCAGAGTTTTTCAAACTTCTGGTGTCAACAGACTTGCTTTTCCCCACTAGCCACATCCTGTGACGGAAGACCTAGCCCCCTACAGTGCTTACCACATCAGACATGCTTCTGAATAGTCTCTAACAGGCGTCTAAGGCTCCAGAAGTACTGCCTTTGATCGGTGAGCTCACGTAGTTAAACCCTGACACTAGCCTAGGGCTTATATTTAAAATACCTCAAAACTGTCCAATGCCCTTCACGCACCCTTGATTGGACACGTCTTTAAGGTATACTGTGATGCCGCCCGGCCACCAGAGCAGCGCCACCCCACAGGGCCCGGAGCACGGCTTACCTTTCTGAAGGACATTTCTACTTGCGTATCACCGTTGAAGTTGAACTTGGCAATAGCTTCTCCGTATTCCAAAACCTGCACTGGTGCCAACTTCTTGGGCTGAGCCTTCTCCGCAGGAGGAAGAAGCTGAGGCAGGAAAAGAAATCGACAAGAAGAAAATGGGAATGTGAGAGGAAAGGAGGAAACAAAAGGCAAGTTCTCGGGGAGTAAAGGGTGCTCTGGGCCCGCCCGGCTCTCCCCTCCAGAAAGGAGCAGCCGCGGTACCTGGACGTAGGTGCGCGGGAAGATGCCCACCCGGCCGTGGTGCTCTCCTTCGTACCAGTTCTGGTCAATCTGCTTATAAATGTAAACAATGTCTCCCTTCTGCAGAGGAAGCTCCCTGTGAACAGAGGGTCATGCACTTTAGCAGATGTTTCAGTATGTGTAAGATGAAGACGTGTCGTTTTTTGTTTGTTTTTTTTTTTTTACAAAAGGAGACGTTGAGCGAGGTCAAAAGGACCACATTACGCAAGCAGGGGCTCTGGGTTTGGAAGTGAGAACCCTACGAGGCGGGGAATTACATCACATCAGGCATTTTTCCAGTCTTCCGTGGGATGGATGTTAACTTCTAACTGGCCAGCATGGAAAAGCCTGTTGTGGTTTCTCCATGTATTTTTGTGAATGCCGAGCTCAGAATGTTTACAGCACACGGCAATGCGCTCAGTGGTCTCAACGACGCCCACTGAATGGCGAAGGACGACTTAGTCCTGCCTTCGCCACCCGCTTGTCGGCCCGTCAAGGCCTTCACTGCTGTAAATCCCACCAAACTACACGGATCTCCTCACTCATTCCGCCCAGCTCACCATCCACCCATCACCATGCAGTAGAAAGGCTCTACAATTAGGCAGATCTGGGTTCAAAAGCCAGTTATGCCCTGTACGAGCCCTGGAACCTTGGGCAACTCTGAGATACTTTATCCAACTAGGAGCCGGCTCAGAGCTGTTGGAGAATTCAGCAACAGACTCTAAGGAGAGCACCCAGCACGGCGCCCGACTTAGAGTTGGCACTCAGCAAATGTGGATTCGCTTCCCTTTCAACATAGAGGGATCTGGGAAAGAAAAGTAGATTTTCACATGTTCTTCATGCCCTTTTCCCAACCTTTCCATATCCATCCCTCTGTTTGCCTCAATAATGATGACCTTAACCTCTCATGAGGACTCCGTTAAAAAAAAAAAAAAAAAAAAGAGAGAGACAAAATAACATCAACAAAATGTGAACTTAAAAGGAGAGCAAAAATTATAACTTGAAATTTTCTTGAATAATAATAATAAATAAAAACATGTCCCGCCAGTGTGGCTCAGTGGTTGAGCATCGACCTACGCACCAAGAGGTCGCCAGTTCGATTCCTGATCAGGGCACGAGCCCAGGTTGTGGGCCCGATCCCCAGTGTGGGGCATGCAGGAGGCGTCCAATCTATGTTCTCTCTCAGTGTTTCTATCTCTCTCCCCCTCTCCCTTCCTCTCTCTCTAAAATCAATAAAGGAAAAAAACAAAACAAAAAAAACTTAGATCTTTTCCATTGGTGTCAGACCAACAGCCTGAAAGAAAGGCCCGACGGCAGCCTGGAGGGCAGCCTGCTGTGCAGCGTGCCGGGAGGTCCCACGGTGTGAGCGATGCCGCCTAGACAAGGGGCCGCATCTGGGAACCTCACACAGGTCAGCACTGTGAACGGAGAGCAACGCGGCCTTTGTGGGTCGCACACTGGTAGACAGGGCTCTAGTCCTACGGAGGCCTGTGAAGACACGCAGGGCATTTGTCTCAGGAAGAAGGAATGTCTTTGCCAAACTTTTGCCGTAGTCCTCCTTGACAGTGTTCTGAAATCTCCCCTCCACTCGCACCCAGCCACGGACACGTGGTGAGCGAGACGCTCCTCCTGCCCCACGGCGGGAGGTCTGCAGGCTCCAGCGCCGCAGCACCGACTTGCAGCTGCGCAGGCAGGTGGGAGCCTAAGGGCCCACGGTTAAGATCTTTTCTGAGTAACAGGCTATGGGGGAGAAATAGAGCCCGTGACTGAACATGTTTGAAAGACTCAAGCCGCCCTGGCCAGGTTGTCTCAGCGGTCAGAGTGTCGGCCCGCAGACCGAAGAGGCCCGGGTTCGGTTCCTGCTAAGGGCACATACCTCGGTTGCAGTTTGTCCCCGACCCTGATTGGGGTCGTGTGGGTGGCAACCAGTCGATGTGTCTCTCTCACATCGATGTTCCTCTCTCTCTCTCTTCCTCCCTCTCTCCCTCCTGCTCTATCTAAAGATAAATGCAAAAACGTCCTTGGGTGAGGATTAAAAAAAACAGACTCAAGCCTACAGGTCTGCCATTTACTCTTTTTTTTTTTTTTTTTTGTGGTATGTGCTCCTGGCGGGAACTGAACCCGGGACTCTGGTCCGCAGGCTGACGCTCAAGCGCCGAGCCAAACTGGCCAGGGCTGCCATTTACTCTTTAAAAAACGCTGCGCTGACTTGTTTTGGCGGCAGCGTGGTACGACGAAGGCGCCGCGCCAAGAGGAAGGAGCCCGCTCCCCCGCGCTGGCACCGCAGGAGGTGGCGACAGGTCCCGTCACCCCAGCGCCCTCGCAGCGCTCCTGGACAGGGGTGCTCCACGGAAAACCCTGTCCTGAGCATCGTCTCCCTCACCAGGAGGCCACTGGTTCACCTCTCAGTCAGGGCACAGCCCAGGTTTCCAACTCGACCCCCAGAAAGGGGTGTGCAGAAGGCACGCTTCCCTCTCGTCAATGTTTCTCTCTCCTTCTCCCTTCCTCTTCAAAAAAAAGTCAATAAAATATAGTTTAAAAAGAAAGGGAGAAGGTATCTACTTGATTAAACTAAACATTTACAAATCTTTGCTACCCTCTGGTTTAAAAAGGGGGTACTTGCTACATTGTGCAAAATGTTTTATAAGTATCGTACCTTGGCTTCCCTGCAAGACAGGCATTTTTATGCCCGTTTTACAGACGAGAACATTTGAGGTGGGAGAGGCCGGTGACCTGCCCATGGCCGCAGAGCCAGTAAGTGGCAGAGCCAGGACTCTAAAGCCCAAACTCCGTCTGGCACATGATGCCACCACCTCCTGTTAGCTGAGGAGTCAAAGGACCGGAGCAACCGCACACGTACCCAGGGCACCAGACTTGTGCTAGGTTCTGTGTTAGAGGAGTTCACGGCTCAGCAGCCTCCACACAGTAGTTTCCAGTGTCTGGGGGCGGGGGGGACGCTCCCCCTCATCACCAGACGGGGCCTCCCACCGGCAGGACAGCAGGATGGCTGCTGGTCACTGCTGCCAACAAAAACTCACGGTCCATTTTAGTCTATAATTAGGTAGCGAGTGAACAGGCTCCTTTGGAACCCTGCCTTGGGTGGCATTCCCCAAATTTCATGCCATGGAAAACAAAGGTTTCCTGGTCACCTAAATTTAGGTTCCACTGGGTTAAATAAGCTAACAGGTTTCTCTCTTCATGAAAAGCCTCCTAGAGCCAGCACCAACAGCAGAGTATCTCTCCGAGGGCGGGCGGGAAGGACAGACCCGGTATGCAGTGGTCCCAGACTCACTTCTACGATGGAGCGCTCTGAGACATACTGTAGAGTTAGCACTCCGAGAAACACGCTTCGAGAAAGGCTGACGTACTGTGCGTTCCCACAGCCTCGAACCTCTCGGGGCAGTGCAGGAAAACTGGTCGAATGACCCTCCTAGAGACTGGTTCCGGCTCCTGCACAGGAAGGGGGGCCAGACAGCCGCCACTCACTCAAGCAGACCGAATCCCTGCGCAGGGGCGGCAGGTGGAGAGTAGAAAGAGCCCAGGCTCTGGCACCAAGCGGCCTGGGCCTGAATCCCGACTCCACACCCACCAGCTTGGGCAAGTTCCTTGGCCTTGTAGTCCCTCAGTTTCCCCATTTAGACAAAGGGGTAATAGCACCGACCTCACAGGACCACAGTGTGACCCATGCAACACCGTAATACGGCGCACAGTACTTGGACAGCGCTCGGCACCCAGTAAACTCCATAAGCCACTAGTTTTTGTCACTGTTCCTTCTCCAACTCTTCTCTATAAGTGAACGTCAATGTTTCAAAAAGGCAGTCAAAATGACAAATAAATAGGACTGGTGGCACTTACTTCAGTGTCTGAGCTTTGAAATCAAATCTGGCTCTGGCGGGTCTCATCTAAACACAAGAAACAATGTCAAGTTAAAAATCACAATTCACATACAATGGAAAGGACACATTCTCACGAGTTTCCGGAAAGCAAAGCAGAAAATCTCAGTCTAACCAGTGCATTCTGGTGTGCACATCTGGGCAAATTCCACTTGTCTGACCTGAGCAGAACATGAGATGGATGTTTGGTCAACTAGGTCATGCATGGGACTCTCCCTAAGGAGGGCCAGATTTGGGGGGGAGATGGTGACCAAGTCCCAGCGCTGAAGTGCAAGGTCCCCCAAACTGACCATGGTTATTAAAAACAAAACAAAAAAACAAAAACAAAAATGGAGTTAGCCAGAAGTCTTACTGTTTGGGAATGATGACTGTTTTGCTCTTACGTTTTCTGCTTGCCTGACTTAAATTACAATCTGCAAGTGGACAGAACCCTGATCCACCTCTCTCATCATCGTCAACTCCATACATTTCTCGCCGTCTGTGAGATCATCCAAAAAGCCAGATCAAGGGGGCCCTGAGCTCTCTCCTTCTCCAAGGCTTCCCTGCCCAGTGGGTAGCCCACTCCTTCCAGAACTTCAGGCCTAGACGGCACCCTCAGCCCGTCTCCCTTCTTCATCACGCCTGTCATGAAGTCTCGCCAACCCTCCCTCTCCCTCCACACCCGGCTCGGGTCAGGCCACTGGTTCACAAGCACAAAGCTTCCTTTGACTCCACTTCTCTTTGCTGTAATCTACTGTCACTCAGGAGACAAATAACATTCCTCAAATACTTCCATCGAGTCACTTCCTTGCTTTGAAGTTGGCTGAGGCTCTCAACTGCCCCCAGATCAAGTCTCAATTCCTGAAGTGTTGTTAAGCCTTCGGGCAATTTCTCCCCACTCGTCCCCATGGCCTTTATCTCTCATTACACCCTTCCCGCCAGGCTTGTCTGGTGGCTACACCTTGGCTAACCCCCTTCTCTGCCTGGAATTTCTTCATCTCCAATTCCGGCAAAAAGAGCAACAAATATATTGCCCACATATATTGGCATATCTTTCTTCCAGCATTCCACCATTAAACGTAGTTATTTTAACTTTTTTTTAAAAAGAAAGGTAGGGGAGAGAAATCACGCAAGCAAGCTGGTGACGGCTGCCAACGTAACTCCAACCCCAGGACCTTCTGGTCTCGGCCAACAGTGTGATGAGAATTAAATTACACCCGTCCTCTTCAAAAGGAGAGGGTATGGCCAAAGTAGAAGGGAAACATGGGAGACTCTCGGTGAGAAAAGAACGGTATTGAGAAGCTTCATCAAGCTCAGGTTTAGATCCTAACAGCTCAGCGAGACGCCCCCTGTGTCCAGGCTCTGCAAGCCGGGGTCCTGCAGGGATCTTCTGACGGGCCATGGTTTTCCGCAGGAGTTTTTACTTCTGCATCTTCATGCTGATGTTTCCAGACCTCTATCTACACACATACACGTTAGAGGTCAATTGAACAACAAACTTAAGCCAACGCGACAGTTTCAAGGCCGGCACTGTCTGTCTGTGACCAAGGAGCATAACTGGACAGATGTGGCAAATAACAGATGTGGGGTGGACGACAAATGACAAGTTCACAGGAGAAGGCCAAATGACCAGACTGTAAGGGCAAACACTGCATAGTGATCGCAATAAAAGGGGGTGGCCACCCCATGACAGCTGGCTATAGAGCTGTGTGAACGTTAAACATTTGTATCAGGCACAATGACACGACCTAGCAATTCAATTAATAAAGCTGTAGAGGTGTGTAGTTTACTGTTTAATTTGTGCATTGGCTTAGGTCAATGCTGGGGGTGGGTAAAATTTTTTCATTAAAGGGAACCTATACATTACTCAAAGTGGAGGAATGCTGACCACTGGTCTCCCGAGACACCACCTGAGTCATTGCTTATACAAAGCCTCTCTCTCATCTGTCTACATCTCCCTGAGGCCGAATCCCCTGGGCTCCCACAGCATGAATGCCCTACCACACAGAGATAGCCGTTCCCACAGCGGGGAGGGCTGCTTGGAGGGCGCCTCTTCCACTGGACTACTGGCTCCCAAGGCACAATCTGAGCCTTGCCTCCGCCTCCCCACAGGGTGACCCACAGTCTCCCTGATGGGTCTGAAGTGTGTCTACACAGCACAGTGTCCCTGCGACTTGTTGGTGTCTGTTTTCTTGTATCTGTCAGCCCACATCTAGGGCAGTGATTCCCAAAGTGTGGTCCCTAAACCCACTCACCAACGTCACCTGGGAACAGGTTAGAAATGCACTCTCAGGTCCCACCCCAGAATCACACTTTGTGGAGCGAGCCCAGTAATCTGCATTTTAACAAGCCTCTAGGGGATGTGATGGGCCCGAGCTTGAGAATCACCGCTCTAGAAGGGAGGCAGTTTGCCTGCCCCTGTCCCTGGTTCTTCTACCCCAGCTGCATTTTCGTGCCCGGACATGGTCTCTAAGGGAGCACGCAGGCCCAGGGTGCCTGTGTGTGCCCATCTTCTCCATCACTGGCAAGCAAGCAGACCTGGGGATGAGGCCCGCCCACCCCTCGGCCTTCAGAACAGGGTGCTCCTGAGGAGCTGGTACAGTGAGGGCCGGGGCTGTCCTGGCGACTGATCAACACCTGCGAACTTCTGCCCCTTCCTTAGGACACTTTCTTTTTGTCCATCACGGTAGAGCTCCATCCCCTCTCTAGCTTTCCTTGTGGTCTGGCTCCTTCCTTTTCTCTACCTCTTCTTCCCAGACTACAACTGGGCCACTGGCCAGTGTCACTTCTGTCACTCACAAGATAGAAAAATGAATTTCTATACCCCCCAAACCCCAGACACACACACGTCCAGAAAAGGAGCCACGAAGGGTCACGTGGCAAAACAAACCAACGCAAGATGCAGCGTTCGGCCTGCAAAGGGTCTCAACTCGTCGACCTCAGGTCAGAGGCCGAGGCCTGAACAAAACCACTCCAAAGGTCTGTGCTTCTTCGTTTGTTTTATAATCTCAGCTGAGATATGTCAAAATTAAAGGAACAAATGAAGTGCCTCTCACCCTCCATTAGCTTTTCCAACTGCAACACTCTTTGGGTTTCAAAATTCGCCAGCAAGGCTTCCGCACTATTGACTATTTTATTTAATTCACTGTAAATACTGAGAGGCAGTACTATTCTCCGATAGTTCAATGTTAATGGCACTAAGTGTTGAGGTCCATGTAAATGATGCACCGCTAGCTGACTCTCGTAACCTGTTTCACTCAACCATCTCTTCAGAGAATCTTGTCCTTGTCCACACCACAGCTACCAATGCACAGGGGCTAAGGATAAGGTTTCTAAGCAGAATGCACAGGCAACACAGTATCACGATGAAACGCGGATGCGAGGACTGGGCGCATGAAGGCAGCCGAGTCTAAGGCATGCATAGGGTGCGCCAGCGGATCCCGGTCCACAGCCAGCATGCTCAGACATACAGAGCGCAGGACACGATGGGACTCATGCCCTCGGACCAGCCAGAGCCAAAGCAAGCCTAGGGAAGCCAGGGTGACAGATGCTGTTTGGAGAACTAATTTGGCCTACAGAGGGCGATGCTGAGGGGAGGCAAATATGGCTTTGGGTCAAGCAGCAGATCGAGGCGACCAAAACAGACCTCTGACCCAGATTTCCTTTTGGCCGTATCGTCTATATTGAGGAGGTCCCCAAAGCGCTCATTAGTGATAAACTGATGGTGCGTCGGAATGACACCCGTGTGGCGCCGAGCTGCAATATCGGCCTCTTCTTGCTCGCGCTTAAGCCGTCTCTGGTCCGCTAAAAGTTTCTGCCATGAAATTGCATAAAAATGGGCAGTGAATCATCTGGTCCCAGGCAATGGAAAACCGCCAACAAAAACAACTAAGGAAAAAGGTGCTGGGTCAACAGGGAGGAAAGTGTAAGGGTTAGAGGTTGGAGGGGCTTTATGGCCACACTACTGTGTTCCGCTAGAATCACCCCTGGCACCCCCTTCAGAGGAAGCAGGCAGCCCTGCACGGGAGCAACCTGGGAGAATGGGCCACAGCAAAGGATGAAGTCCACTCGGCCACTGTCTGCAAACCACCCCGCTCAGCCCAGAGCCCCCTGCCTCCTTCTGCACAGACGGCAAGGCCAGGGGCAGGTCCCGAGTGCGCAGTGTCCGGGCTGGCGGCAGGAGGCTGGGAGCACTGTCCTTACCTCGAGTAGGCAGCGACGAGTTCCCACAGTGCGTTCCCTTGGCGGGGCCAGGGCTGGCTGATCCTCTGCCCACAGCAGGCCCACTAAACCTGCGACGGGCCTTGACTCTGGGGGGCCCGTGGCAACCAGGTCATTGTTTACCTCCCGTGTTTGCTACTCTAAATGCGCTTGTGGGGCTGCCCATTTCGGAAAACAAGGGCCCCTGCCCCTAGGCCAGCAACCTCCCCTCTGGGCAGTTTTTCGGAGGCCTTAGCTATGTCTGTGACTGACAGAGAACATCAGTTACTTTGTTGCGACACTTTTAAACTTATCTATTTCTTCATTAGGTGAAATTAAGCTGAGTTTAAGGGAATGGTGTAGAATATCAATACAGAAGATAAACTAAGAATAATGATAGTTGGGATCAGAAAGAAATATTCTCTCCTAAATTAAGGAAATAGTCATCTATTTCTATGTTTTAAATTCTTTAAAAATAATTAAACAATGTTACATTTGACCAAATGTTGCACTTTCTCATTGCCTATTGAAATGACACGGAATAGAATTTTATTTTTGTTTTTTGGGGGTTTTTTTGGTACGTGCTCTTAGCGGGAACTGAACCCAGGACTCTCTGGTCCACAGGCCAATGCTCCAACCGCTGAGCCAAACCAGGCAGGGCTACAGAATAGAATTTTAATGTGTTTTCTTATTCCAGACCAAATACACATTCTTGGGATTAATATTTTTGTAGGAAAAGCATTAATTATAACTGATAAGTCTTATGTTCTTAGCAAAACATTAGTCTTTTTCGAGTGGCAATTAAATGCCTCAGGTGACACCTAGCCCCACATGATGGCGGGCCCGAGTCTCCCATTTACCACAAGTAATAAAGTAACGGCTCATCAAGTGGCACAGCATTTCCAGTGCTCAGGGAAGCTGTTGTAAAGATTAAGTAAGAAAAGACACGGAAGTGCTTTGCAAAGCACGGTGGGGCCCTGGTTCCCAGCCCGCCTCTGGTACAAGTGAGCGTGGTGTGTGGCCCCGGGCAGTCCTTTCCTGGATGAACAAGGGGACTGACTGGATGACCACTGACGTCCCTTCCAGGGCGGACACTGCCACGCCCGGCAGCGCATCTCCAGCACTGTGAAGAGGACAGCGTCTGCACGGGAACGTGCCAGGGCTGACGCTCCACGAGCTGGAGGTGCTTTCCTGGAGCAGCGGGAACGGACTAGCGCTTGAGGCCGGACCTCGGTGCTGCCTGCGGCCAAGGTTACATGAATCAGTGCAGGTGGGCAGGGGATGGGGCAAAGCTCCCCAACCCGTGCTCGAAGCCACCTCAGTAACCACATAGGCCAAACCCTCCATGAGACACGACGTCTTTCAGGGTCTTCGAGTAGTGTCATTTGGGAAACAGGCTGCTCGCCTTCTGAATGAACCTCTTAATGTATCACTGGCCAAACCAGCTAAGTCAGATGTGCCTCCTGGGCGGCAGGCAGACTCTACCCAGAACCTCTGCGCCGGGTTCTGAGCTCACACTAGCAAGTTGGAATGTCCTCGTCCCTGCCGCAGTCGGGGCCGACGGGTGGGCCCCTAGAATCTCAGTGGTGGTGACTGCAGGTGAATCTGTTCTGTGGCCCCATGAACACTCATTGTATATGAGGTTCCACCTCGGCGTTACAAACAAGTCTTTACAGCAAGTCCTGCTCTTTTTTCCTTCCACGGACGTGAATACTGTCTGCTTTCTGCCTGGAGGGGGAGAGCCATGCCTTCTGTCTTACCATCTGGCAGTGAAGACAACCCTCTGGCCTCCTCAAAGGGGGCCTCACCCTAAATCCTTAAGGGAGATCCACCTCAACCCTGAAACCACTCAGCGGAACAGAACACAGGGCAGCAGGCTCGACAGGGACGGAAGAGTGTGTGACATGCACGCCCTCCGCCTCCGGCCAGCAGCTGGGTGGTCTTCACCTCAGTCCGCGGCCGGAAGGGGCAGCCTGCTCTCTACAGGCCCCTCTCCTGGGAGCGCAGCCTAGAAAGCATGCCGCACCCCAGCACTTGACTGCAGCAGGAGCCGGTGACCTGGCCCACGGGGCAGGCAGGTGGACTGCCCTCCTCAAACCCGCAGGACGCGGCCTTTCTTCAGGCCCGTCAGCAGCTGCCAGGAAGGGGCCGCGTCCTGAGGCTCTCGGTGCGGTTACCCGCGTTTCCTGGGGCATCTCCCTTCTTCTGAGTCAAACGGCAGCTTCTCACTGTTGCCTTTTAGTGCCCATTGCTTGTATCATGGACATTATTAGTTTCCAGTTTCCTCTCTCTCCGACTGCGTCCTGCCCAACATGAGCGTGCCAACAGAGGGACGGGCAGTACTGGAGAAGGCGGGGTGTGGGCTTCCCCGGAGAACCAGGCGGGGGTCGGAGGAGGGATGAAAGAGCAGTACAGGGTGGGCAACCTTTTTCTGGACCTCCCGTTAGCAGTACAGGGTGGCAACCTTTTTCTGGACCTCCCGTTAGGCTGGCTCAACGTGGCATTCAGCACTGAGCGCTTGGGACAACCCGCTTCTTTTTGGGAAAGTGACCCAAAGAGGAGTGACTGAGCCGATGTCCCACAGAAGGTCTGACAGCGCCAGTCTTTGCTCCCCGTGGCTAGGCCACGTCACCCCTCTGGCAGAGGTCGTGTCTGCACCTGTGCAGCAGCTGAGAGAGGGCAGAGATGGCACCTACCTCTTTGTCATCATGACGTCTTCGGATGAATTCTTCTGTGGATTCCAAGTAATCAGCTGGTATGAAATGTCTTGGTGATTCCGAATCTTCAAAACAACAAAGTAGAATTAAAACAAGCAAAGATTTAGTGGGAAACCAGACTGGGAAAAGATTTCACCTTTCATCCATTCTAAATGTCAGATTTTTTACAGCTGTTGAGACCAGTGATCAATAACCAAATTCTGAAGGAAAACAAAAAAATAACCCCCTCCCCGTTTGGATTTACGTGTGAACTTCTGTAATACAAACTCATTAGAAGGCAAAAGGTGAGCAGAGAGAGAGGACCTTCTCTGGAAAGTGTCCCTGCTAGGAGGCGTGCAGGGTCTCACGGGAACACACTGTACACTCACACACACAGGGCCACCGGGAGAGGCTGCCTCTCAAAAAACCAAGGGTGAGTCGGGGCTGGTGCAGACTTTATGGGGTTCAAGGGTTCAAATGAACAAATTTCTCAGATGAGCTAAACGGCCAATTTTTCTTTCGAAACAGAGTTTGGTGGTTAGTCTCAATGACATGGGACTTTGTTTTTAAAGAAGTGCAGCCGCTACGAGCCATGATTAATTGCCAAGCAAAACAAACGGAAAACAAAGGACGGACAGAAAATGAGCACCAAAGGCACACCGAAGGGACAGAGCAAGCAAAGTGGAGACAGGGGAGGTGAGACTGGGCACACACACAAAATGCCACCTCCGAGGGCCGGTCCCAGTTCACTCTGTGGGTTGTTGTTTCTGTCCAGGCCGTGGTCTGAGTACGGCACAGAGTTCCCATTACTAAAGGCCCCCAGGCAGCCCTCTGGGACCACGGGTCTCTCCTGAGGGGGCTCTGAGATCCGGCTCAGCCTGGCCATGGCGTGTCGGGAAGACAGGCGTTTGGGAACTGAGGGCTTCTCCCTGGAGTGGGGCTCGTCCTGATGGGGTTGACTGGGGAGGTCAGGCTTCCGGCCCACCGGGGGGCCCGAGAAGTCACCAGGGGCAGGCTGTCTGGGGTGGTGCTGGAGGGGCCTTTTCAACCGAAAGGGGAGGGGGCTCATCAGGTAGATGTTCCTGAGGAGCGCGCTCCTGTCCCCTCGGGAGTCCGGGCGCCAGCCAGGCTGTCTGGAGGTCTGCTGCTGCTCGTGCTTGCGGATGGTGGTGAAGCGGGTGTACGAGGCCGGGCAGGTGCCCTTGCACTTGTTGAGGCGGTGCTTGGGGAAGTCCCCGTGAACACTGCCGCTGCTGCCCTCCCTGCTGTCACTGGAGATGCTGGAGCAGTGGTCGAGCTCGTCAGAGCAGGTGGAGAGGGGCTCGGAAGGCGCCAGGCCCCTGAAGCCCAAGGGGGAGTCCACCATAGTGCTGCACATCGGGGAGGCGTAGACCCCCCCAGGGTTCATGCCGTCCACCTCCCTGGGCTGCAGCTTGGTTGACTCCAGGAGGGACTCCGCAGAGCGGGCTGAGATCAGGCTGCTCCGGCACAGCACAGGTGTGGGGGACTTGCTCAGCCTGCCAGACAGGTCCAGGGATGGCATGGACCTTGACCGCTGAATCAGCTGCTCAAAAGCTGTAATGCGGGAGGAGACGGTGTGCTTGGGGATGTGCTCCGAGCCCTCCTGGCTGGGGCCCAGCTCGCCCCTGGCCAAGGCCAGGCCGCTCCTCTCAAAGTGGGAGGCAAGATCCCGCACACTGGAGGAGGCGGCGGATCCTAGGAACAGGCCGGCTCGGTTGATCTGGTGCATGTCCCGGTAAAGCATGGTGAACTGCATGCCAGCCTTTCTGAGGGGGCAGGGCCTCCTGGTGCCGTACTCCTGCAGGCTCATGGTGCTGCTCGACTTGCTGTCGTAATCCCGCCGGGAGCGCATGAGCAGGTTCTCGATGCTCCCCCCCACCTGGAGGGGGAGCCCTCTCTTGGAATCATTCAAAGAAACTGACACGCAAAGGTTCTCACAGCTCTGAGCCTTTTCTGACGGCAACAGCACACTCTTCTGTTCCTGCAGAAGGGCGCTGGGAGCAGAGAGCCTGGGTTTGAACTTGGAGGGAAGGATCTCCGCAATGCAGGCCTTGGCGGCGGACAGGGGTTTCTTGTGCTTACACCCGGGGCCTAACGCATGGCTAGTGTTAACCGTTCGGCTAGGAACTGAAGATGAAGGAACCATGTGAGCATTCCCACCTTTACGATCCACTGGAAAGCATGCAGAATAAAATAAACAGACCCATTAGGTTAAAGCTGAAAGCTGCTAAAAACAAAAAGGAGAGGTAACATGCTCATTGGTCATAGGTGTTCTTTTAAAATTTCCAGTCGATGTCCCGAAGCAAAATAATCTGTGCTGCAAAGCAGGTGCAGAGATGCAACGAAAATATGGCCACCTTGCTAGGGTCAGGAGAGGTTAGAGCTCAGCTAACTTCTAAGAAAAGGGAATCAGAACAACAACAAAAAAAAAACAGAGAGAGATGCTTCAGGGAGAGCAAGGTTGGGGTTGAAAGGCAGGAGAACTATTAATACCAGAAAGAAAAATGGCCGGTGAGGAACTAGGGGAAGAAGGCTCAAAGGCCTGGAAGTGGATCTGAACGAGGCAAAAGTTACCCCAGGAGCTGGAGGCTCACCCACTGCCAACACCCCAACAACGGCAGACAGGCGAGGGGCCTGCAGGCTTCACCGTTACCTTTCGTGGAGGCCGAGCTGGATGGGCGCTTGAGCCCACTGAGGCCCTGGAGAGGGATGTCTCCACCTTCCAAGACGCTTTTATAAATCTGCCTCTCATTCTCCAAGCTACCGAGATCCCCGGGAGCCCCATCTGATTCCCTCTTCACTGCGTGGAAGTTGGAAGAATATATACTAAGAACAATGTAATTTAAAAAAAAAAAAGAGAGAGAGAAGAGGGAAAAAAAAGAATTGAAGTTAGTATATTTAACATTTTTCTAAACAGTACATTTCCAGCCGAGGATAAGAAACACACTTTCTGGCTTCCTAGTGAAGTAGCGTCCTTCCTAAGGGCATCCTTATGTAGACACAGAGCGCGACACACCAGGCGGGCCCCTGGGTGCCCGTGGCTGCTCAGGAATCACGTCCAAGCAGCGAAGATGACCGCGTTTGTGCTCTACCGGCGGAGTAGCGGAGGAACTCTGCTGGGGGAGGGAGGGCAGGAGGGGTGCTCCGCCCCCAGGGGCTGCACACAAGGTGGGGCCGTCAAGGACCAAAGCGGAGCCTCCGACACAGCGCCAGCCAGTGTTGGTGACTTCAAGTCCACCACTTGGATAATTGTCCTGGGTTATTTTTCACTGGCTGATGGAGCACTAAAATCAACCATGAAGCCTGGCCGGTGTGGCTCAGTGGTTGAGCGTCGACCCACGCATCAAGAGGTCGCCGGTTTGATTCATGGTCAGGGCACATGCCCAGGTTGTGGGCCCGAACCCCAGTGGGGGGCATGCAGGAGGCGGCCAATCGATGTTCTCTCTCATCGATGTTTCTATCTCTCCCTCTCCCTTCCTCTCTCTCTAAAATCAATAAAGAAAACAAAAATTAAACTCTTCCTTTAAAAAAAAAAATCAACCGTGAAAAGAAGAGGCCCCCGTCCTGGGTCTCCAGGAACATCAGCCAGCAAGTGAAAGTGGGACCTGGGTCTCTGCGCTCTTTTATAAAAGTCAGCCACACCCCGCACCCAGCTCTTCCAAAATGCGTATCCAGATCCTGATGACAGGCATTGTGAGCCTCCACTGGTGACACGCCCTCGTCAATGATGCTGCCTTCGTTCATTTTTATCTTGTTGAAATTCTGGGTATTTTTGCAAGTCACCACAAACCCTTTCTGGAAGGAGGCGGGGCCCAGAAAGAATGACGAGCACTTGTTCACTGGCCCGCTCCCTTCCTGGGTCTGTGTCCGGTGCCCTCGCCACGGGCGCGTGGGCCCCACACTCACGCAGGGAAGGGACGGACTCCTTTCCCACACAAGTGCTCAGGCTTCTGCGAGGCTGCTCCTCAGTCCTACTGAATTCAGTTTGCTGGTATCGATGTGGATTTCTCAGCTCTAAAGATGTCAACAGCTTGGTGGATTCCTCTTCCCAATATTCTACTATGAGTATATCGGGGGTATAGAAATGCTGAAGGAGTTACAGTGGTGAACACCCACATACCCTTCTGCAGGGGCCACGGCTGCATCAGCTTTATCACACATCTGTCCATCTCCCTCCCTTCGTCCAGGCGTCACGATGGAATCATTTTTACATTTCACGCGGCTCGGGGGCGCCGTGGTCACACCACTGGTGAGACCTGCGTGGGAGGCACCGTGCCAGAGCCCAGAGGTCGCCCTCCTGCCGGTCTCCTCCTACAGTCTCCCTTTTCCCATGTTCAGATGACAGCCGGACTGATGGGTCCGGGGACGGGCGGGCTGGAGCCTGAGCCCCGGCGTGCAGCACCCTGTGTTCTCAGCCACTGTTTCTAGAACATTCCCCTACGACTGTGGAGGCAGCGTCCTCCCAGAGCCCAGGCTCGCACACCTCGGGAAACGGGGGCCTAAGGCCACTCAAGCTCCGCGTACACCAGAACCGTCATCTGTCGCCTGTCACGAACGTGCTCCTGGGACAGGCAGCTCCGCAACAGCTAAGAGGGGAGTCTGCCGTCAAGAGGCCCCGTCTCCCTCAGGGTGGCTAAGTTCCCCTGAGCAACACCCCTGGCGGGAGCCACCTCTCCACGCTCCGCTTCAGGGGACTGCCTGGGGGCCAGGCTTCCCCCAACTCCCTCCTCCTTCTCCCAGGCCCACATCGGGATCAGATGCTTTTCCCTTTCCTCAGCCAAGACAGAGGAGCATCCCTGGGAATCGGAGGGAAAAGAGAATCAACCCTCCGAGCTGAGAACAGAAACACCGGTGGGTGAGGGGAGTCTACAGGGCAGCCTCCGGGTACGTGTCTACGGGGAACCTCCAGGACGTAGGACAGGGCAGCCTCTCTCCTCAGGCTGGGCCCTGTGTTTTTTTCCCCCTTTTCCCAAGGACATCTTTACATTTATCTTAAGATAGAGAGGGAGGGAGAGAGAAAGGAAGAGAGAAACATCGATGTGAGAGGGACACATCGAGTGGCTGCCACCCACACGACCCCAACCAGGGCCGGGGACAAACTGCAAGCGAGGTACGTGCCCTTAGCGGGAATCGAACCGGGGTCTCGCTGGACTGCAGGCCGACGCTCTAACTGCTGAGCCAAACCGGCCAGTGGGCCCTCATTTTTCATAGCCCACTTGACTACAGGGTCAATGAATACCCTCAGTCAGTGTCCGTTGAATGAATAAAAGGTGACATTTTCTGAAGGCAACACTGGCACACATTGCTCTGATTAAGAATATGTTCTGATTTGTGTATTTGTGAAATGATGTATTTAGGAATTTTCCCACAAGTATAAGAATTATATCACATTTCCGTAGGACTTCGAGCTCCTGACACTAGTGACCACGGAGTGATCAGAATGGTGGAAGAGTAACTCTGCAGGAAGAGGTGCCCAGCCTTACGCTGGCTGTCCTGCCGGGGCCCGGGGCCCTGCCTGGAGGGCCCTCTCCCATCCTGGAGACAAAAAGACCTGGCTTTCCCAGGCCTGGGGGTCAGGCCAAGGGACCCGGGTGGCCACCCATGCAGCTCTGGGCTCTCCTGCTTCTGCCTGCAGGGGGCATTCGCTGCTGTCCCCAGTTCTGACGGACAGAAGCCAGCAAACCCAGCTGGAGGTGACTTGCAAGGTCGCGGCACTCTGTGCTGAGTTAAATCAGCGTGCGCTCCTCTAAACCGGCTTTCACTTTGAATTTCCTAATTTACAAAAATCTGCCTCTTTTCTAAATCTCCCTTTCACAGTCTACCCTCTTCTTCCTGGTTGCAGTTTCTGATTTTGTCCTTCAGCCCAACCTTATCTTTCTCCTTGTTGTACCTCCCAGCTGCAAGAAGATGCATGTACAGATGTCCTTCAGGCTCGCCACGCAACAGCTGGGTGACGGAGGCTGCTTCTGTGAGGGCTGAGTCTCTAAAGCCCTGCTCTGGGGACCGGACCTCCATCAGCACTGAGCGACGTCACAGCGGCTTCTACGCTGCTGTCCCTTAAACTGCCTCTGCCTCGGTCCGAACACCGACCCCTCTCCCCTAGTTCCTCCTGACTTCTCGGAGGGACACCGGCCGCCTGACCTCGCCTCCTCTACCTCACCCGCTGTCAGAACTCACACCCCACACCCCCTCCAGCCACCCCACTTTCTGGCTTTATTCCACCATTATCACCATTTTCTCCTGCTTCCCACCGGAATGGCAAGCCAGCAGTGCTCAGGAAACCTCTCAGGATGAACTTGCTATGGCCAATTGTTTTCTTTCTGATACCAAAGCCCACGTGCTTTTTCCAGATGTGTGACACTCTGCAACTCGTTTAAAAACAATAACTAAAAGTTCTGGTGCAGTGTTTCTAAATGCATCATTGGATTTCCTCATTGGAAAGATGGACATCATTTGTCCATTGTACCAAGGGGGGGAAGGAGGGCCAGCGTGGTGAAGGCTCTGTCACAGGTCACAGAGTTTTTGGGTCTCTGCTGCATCAAATAGATCAGAGAGGAAGAGGAAAGTGCCCTCCGGCTGATGAGACCCAAGCCACCAGTAGCTTCACACAGCAAATCCAGTCTGGAAGCTCAGCTCTCGGCAGCTTGGGTTGAGCTCATTTTCGGGCGAGAGGAAGCCAGCAGGAGACAGTGAAGGGAACTTCTCCTCTGGCCAAGATGCAGAGCTGGCTGCTGAGTTTCAAGGGGATTCAACAAAAACACACTCACTCAAAGAATAAAACGAGAGAACAGAGCAATCATTTCAGGGCCAAATGTTCCCAACTGTGCTCACTGGCGGGCTCTGGAAGAGGCACAGGGTCCTGGCAGCTGGGACCCCGGTCGACTCTGACAAGAAATATGGACCAGCTGAGGCAAACCCGCTGATTTAAAACACTTGAGAATAGCCCTGGCCGGTTCGGCTCAGCGGTTAGAGCATCGGCCTGTGGTCCAGAGAGACCTGGGTTCGGTTCCCACTAAGGGCACGTGCCTCAGTTGCGGTCGCACGGGTGGCAGCCACTGGATGTGTCCCTTTCCCATTGATGTTTCTCTCTCTCTCTTCCTCTCTCTCCCTCCCACCCTATCTGAACAAAAAATGGAAAAATGTCCTCAAGTGAGGATTAAAAAAAACACAAAAAACTTGGAAATAGTCTGTTTCTCTCAGCCTTGAGTTCCTTCATTTGCAACACTACCCGGTGTGGTGAGACTGTCCAAAAAGTTCACCTTGAAATCTAGTATCTAGACCTTTCTTTTGAGCTCCAGACACATACATTCAACTGCCTTCTAGATGTTCATCAGGCATCTTAAATCCAACACGTCCCAGACCAAACACAGCTCATTCCTCCACCTCCATCACCCAAGCGAGAAAGCACAGAGAATCAACTGCTTCTCTTGTGCTGGCTCCCCCCACACTCGACGAGTCACCAGGTCCTGCTTGCTCCCTGTCCTTCACACGCCCACACTAATGCCTTCTCTCTGCCTCTGGTCCCCACTCACCACCGCTCACCCACACCTCTGCAGCAGGGATCTTTCCCCTGGTCTCCAGCCCCGTCTCCAATCATTTCTGCAAGCCACTGCCAGTAATATTTCTAAAAAAGATCTCACTATGGCTCATTTTATTCACTCAAGTTCATTCCACAAGTATTTACTGAGCATCTACTACATGTTAATCACTCTCCTAGGTGGAGATTCAACAAGGAACAAAACAGACACGTGCCGGCCTCATGGAATTCACTGCTCAAAACCATTTGGTGTTTTCAGGAAGAAACAAGAAAGGAACACTTGTCAACTGTGGCTGTGGGGGAGGCATCCAGACAGTCTGGAGAGGGCAGTCTCATCTTCCAGCCTTTTGTACTATATGGAAAAAGGTTACTTTTCTATTTATGTTATTGGTATTCGTTTTTATTTGCTGCTCCTGGGGAAGCCTACCTTTCCTCCTCCACAGAACAGAAGTGCTCATTCCCTCCCGGGTGCCATCACTGCCCTGTACCGCACTGGATTCTGAATGTTATTTACAAGTCTGTCTCCCCATCACACTCGGATTTTCCCCTTGAGGGCAGGCAGTTTATCTGATTAATCTTTGCATGGCTGGTGCCTAGCACTGCTGTTCAGTAAGTATTAGTGGAATACGTGATTTCATAAATTTAAACACCTACGTGCACACCGATTTATGACACATTTTACAGCCCTGGGAGTTTCTAATATTTCATCAAGTTCTCCAGGTAATGATTGGTGCTTTGATCTTAAATTAGATTAAGGGGTAAGTGTTCTTTTCTCGTGGGCCGGCACCACTTAGGAAAACAGCAGCTCGAGTGCCACCTTCTGGCCAAATACAGCAAAGCTCTTTGGTTAGGCAAAGGATGTCTTCGTGTTCATCACTGCTGAAATGCCAAGCAATGACGAGCGAGAGCAGGCTGCGCTGTGGATGTGTAGATCTGGAAATTCTACAGAAATAAAATACAAAATTGGACATACACTGTGACAGCAACTATAAAAATGCATATCTTCAGAGGAAGGACTGAATACTGGGACCATGGTTAAATTTCTTCCTCACTGTTCCCAGGTTCTTTTAATGTTGTGATATGTAATCAAGTTAACTAATAAAATTCTAAACTGCAGTCTGTCCGAGATATGAACGTGGATTTAAGACACCTTCACCTCACTGACCACAGCATTTTTGAACCTGGGCCACCTGTGACTCCTCCTCCTTCAGTCCTCGGGTGAAGCGAAGTCTTGCCAAGGCTATTCCTGTCCATCGAGTGAAGGGGCCCGATTCAGTGCACAGGCTGCCCACCTGGGTGCTGAGCAAGTTGGATTCCAGTCACTGAGACGTATCGCTGCATTCCCTTCCCACAAACACTTACTGTGCACTTGCTGGGTGTCAGGCACACAGAAAACCCTTACTCGTTTGAACAACCTGGGAGAAAACTGAGCCTGAATTACTGATAAATTCCCAAACGGTACAGGAGCACAGGGAAAAAACTCAGCTATTCCTGCCAAGTATTTCATATGAGCTAGGCTCCGGCTGAGAAAACCAAGGTCTTTGGAGACCTAATTCGATGCTATCAATGAGAGCGCTTGGTAAATGAACACATCGGGTGTCTTTATGCACACAAGCACTCAGACTCTGATGACAATTTGCCTTTTTTTTTTTTTTAAATCCTCACCCAAGGACATTTTTCCATTTTTTTGTTCAGGTAGAGTGGGAAGGAGAGAGAGGAACAGAGAGAGAGAGAAACATTGACGTGAAAGGGACACATCGAGTGGCTGCCACCTGTACGACCAACCAGGGCCAGGGACAAACTGCAACCAAGGTACATGCCCTTAGCGGGAACTGAACCCGGGTCTCTCTGGACCGCAGGCCGACGCTCTAACCGCTGAGCCAAACCGGCCAGGGTGGCAATTTGCTTTTAAGCAGTCTGCATTACTCCCCTTCAATCCTGCTAATACAATGTTATAAGTAGTCACTTAAATTGTTCTTCAATCACTCAAAAGACAGTAAATTATAGCATGCTTTCTGTTCATTTATTACTCGATTTTGAATCAGTGTGGTGCAGATGAGAGCTTACTGTGGACACCAGCCCCCTGGCCTAGAACTTCACTGTTGCTGGTCTAAGGAGGACCAGCTCGGACACATACCAGCTGCGGAGCCTTGGACATTACACTGCCTGTTCCCTCACCTATAAAATGAGGATTAAAAATAATGTTTGACCCTGGACTGTTCACAGGACTGAGGTGAACTACATAAGATGCTAAGCATAGGGTCTGGCACACAGTAAACGCTGAAAAGAATTGTTCAAGTCACTTCATTCCAGACCTGTGGGCCCAACTCTGACAGTCCCTGGGCACTGCCTCTTTTCTGAACACTTTTAACCCTTACAGTCCACTTCAATCACTTGCCAATTTGCCTTCTTATGTACTGACATTTGTGTGTGTGTTTTACCCCCAAAACTATTCAGAGACTATTTGTTACATTCCTATGATAATACGCAGCATAGTGCCTTAGATCCGGCAGAGCTAAGGAACTCACTCAGCGGGCCACCCGAGACAGCCCTTTTTGTCTTTGTATTTCAGGGAGATGGGTGAGGGGCAGAGGGGGGAGACCAGGCAGCCGGGCAACACTATGCAGTCCCGGAATCAGCAGGGGCAGGGAGGGAGCTGCAATCAGGCACTGGGCAGTCAGGACTGGCAAACAGGTGACTTCAGGGATCGGGGGGTTTGCTGGGAGCTGTGGCCCAGAGGAAATCCTTTATCTGCAGTTAGCCTAGAGTCCTCTGGCAGACTTCAACTTAGAAAGCTCATCGCTGGGACCTAGAGGACCTATGACTCGTCCCCCTTGGAGCTGAAGGCATAGTCCAACCAGCTCCTTGAAAGGGTGAGCCTCAGAGCCCAACGTGGGGCGGGGCAGTCCCAACGATATAGCTGAACCCTGACTCCTCTCTGACGTGACGGTGGCCTGATCAGCAACCCCACGGTGAGTGCAAGAGACCTTACATCGACCTTCTCCAAGACAGAACTGTCCTTTAAGACAGGAAACTTCCCCCCCTGACTACGGTCCTAATACATTGTCTCAATTTCTTCTTATGCTCTTATGGTTAACCATAACCGTTAATATACACATTCATAGAAGAAATACTAACAGAATAGATCTGGCTAGAGATTTGGTCACTACCCTAAAAGGACTAAGGTTTTTTTCTACCTTCCCATTGAAATACTCCAATCCCAACTGACTTGTAAATGAAACGACTCTTCCAAAATGCCCAAGTGGCCATAATGTTTGCCACAAATATCCATAAACTCAGCATTCAGGCCAAGCCAGGCTCCTGTCTGAACAGGTGAACTCTGCTCATTGTGAATTTGCCCAACTCAAATGGAACAGGTAACAGTTGTGCCTCTCATGGTCCTACTCCGAAGGATAAGGTACAGATAGGTCACCAGGGATGGATAGGGAGGTGGTGAGATGGAGCTGCTCCCACCACAACAAACTCCCAGATCTATGGGGTGCACCAGGCTCGATGGAGAAGCTCTCAAGGAGCTTGTAATTTATTAGTTATTTAAAAATACGGTAACATTATTCAGGTACACAGCAGCAGTCAGGGTCATGAGAAGTACTAACAAATGGTTTGGAGGAGATAATGTGGGAGGTTTTGGGGATGGTTTGTAGGAGAGGATGCGGGAGGTTTTGGGGATGGTTTGTAGGAGAGGATGCGGGAGGTTTTGGGGATGGTTTGGAGGAGAGGATGCGGGAGGTTTTGGGGATGGTTTGTAGGAGAGGATGCGGGAGGTTTGGGGGATGGTTTGTAGGAGAGGATGCGGGAGGTTTTGGGGATGGTTTGGAGGAGAGGATGCGGGAGGTTTTGGGGATGGTTTGGAGGAGAGGATGCGGGAGGTTTGGGGGATGGTTTGGAGGAGAGGATGCGGGAGGTTTGGGGGATGGTTTGGAGGAGAGGATGCGGGAGGTTTGGGGGATGGTTTGTAGGAGAGGATGCGGGAGGTTTGGGGGATGGTTTGTAGGAGAGGATGCGGGAGTGTGGGGGATGGTTTGTAGGAGAGGATGCGGGAGGTTTGGGAAGAATGCCCCATGAAGCAGTGAGTGAGGTGTGCACACATCATCCAGGAGAACCCTAAGAATTGGTATGGGGAAATAAAGCCACATCTCTGAGAATCAAACAAGTGAGCCCCGTCTCCGCCCCATCTTTCTGGCCCAGCCCAAGGACCCGAACTCCACACCCCCCAACAAGAATCAGCAAATGAGGTGAACTTTGATCCTAAACTCAGACTAATACACTCAAGTTCTAAAGGTAAAGATGACAACATAGGGAAAGCTTATCAAAGTTAACATGAATCATCACAAAATTAATTTGGAAGAGGAGGAGAAAACAGAAGAAAAAAAATTGAAGGCTAGAATTGAATTGCTACTTATCACCACCACACTGTGCGTCATTCAAAGCCACGGGACTTCTACAAATAAACACTTAGGTCCAAATCACAAGCTTCTTTCCAGTTTTGACATTTCATACATTAAACCGAGTAAACAAAGTGGCAACTTACTATCCAGGAGGCTCTGCAGAGATGTCCGGAGTGGGGCTGACTGCTGAGCTCTGCAAATGTCAGAAAACAAACAAACAAGCGTATGTGATTTATTCTGACTCAGCTGTTTCAAGCCAAAGGGAAAAAGAGAGGAGTCCTTTTCCCCTCCTAATCGAGATGGGGGCCCTGGGAGCTGGAAGCCCTCCCTCAGGAGCAAGATTTCTGGGCAAGTGGGTGTTCTTTTTGTGTCTGGTCTTTCCCTCCCAGTGGCTGGGGGGTGCGGGGGGGCAGGGAGATGACCTCATATGTACCTTCAGTCACAGGCCCACCGAGCAGACTGGCCCACCATGTGGCCAACATGCATTAGCCACATGGACAGCACACCCTCCGCCAGTGTACCCCAACCTTTAGACCCCCCCTGCCAACCCACCACAGACTCCTTCATGCGCCCCAGATGCCACATCCAGAGAGAGGGTCACCCAAAACATTAGGTATAGAAGGTACAAAACGCATTTGAAAGACCCACTGTTGAGATCACCTGTTTGCCCTGCAGATTTAGGATGTGAAGTGGGGGAGAAACGCAGTTTTACAAAAGCTATTACTGACCACCTCCGCCTCAGTGGGGGAGCATTTTATACAGTTACAGGCCACTGTCCCAAAGGCAGAAAACAACCGACAGCTACATGCAGAGGAAAAGCAACATAATTGTATTGTTCAGGGTTTCCATTGTTATCATGGAGAGAAAAAGGCAAAGGGTCCAACATGTTGGCTTTTAAAAATGACGTGGCTGAATAAATAAATGAAAAAGTCAGCGTCTACTCCTAGCTCTAATGCTGACCACTAGAAGGAGCACACGGCCTGGAGGAGAGCTCTCTGAGGAAAGGAGAGAGAGGCCAGAGAAAAGGAGAGACTGTGGAAGATGACCGGAGGGAGGCGACCATCGAGGGCTCAGCCACCCGGCCCTCTGCCTGCTGGGTCCTGTCGTCTCGAAGGGCGCCCCTGGCCAGGAGGACTGCACCCCTTCCTCCCATGACCCCTCAGAGAAGGCACCCCTTCACCTCCACATACATCCGTCCAGCCTTTGCCTACACTGGCCTCTCCTGCCCACGCCCTCTCCTTGAACCTGTCCTTTGGCGTCCGCCCCGTCCTGGGTCTTCCCCCTCCGGACCATGCCCTGGGCTCCATCTCGGGAAAACACCGTATGACGCTGCTGAGTCCTCCGGGAACATCCCCTGGCCTTCCTTCGTGATCATGGTTTCGGTCAGTGTGCCCCTCTGGGGGATCCCCACTCCTCACCAGCACTCCAGCCCCATCCACGACTCACCCGCAACCTGCAGTGTCTAGAAACCTCTTGGTTATCAAACCCACGGAGCCTTCCTCCCAGTCAGTTTCGGGGTCTCTCCAGGGCACCGGGTCATGCTCAGACCTCTCCCCTCCTCCAGCACTTGTTTTCCTCCTGCGTCTCGGAACCGTTCCCTCTGACCCTCCCCTCATTCTCCCATTCCTGCCAGCCAACGTCCCAAGAGGGAGTTGATCTTTTCATCCTTCCTCTCAACATATACCTCCCTCCAACCATCCACCCCCAGGGCGGGGGCTCCATCTGCTTCCACCATCTCTGGGGTGACTGGGGCTGCCTTGTAAGGCCCTGCCTCCCCCAGGAGACCAGTCTCCACCTCCAAGTGTCTGCAAAAATCAGTGACCCAAACCCTCTGTCTTGCTGACCTAGCCTTTAATAACCCACATTCTGACATAGCTCCATTTTAAAACGCCCGTGCGGATTGTGGCCAATGCCTGGGCCGGGCGGCCGGGCCTCTGATGGGCATGTTTTCAGCGAGAACTTCCTAACTTTTCAAACTACAAACACGCCGGGCACGTGAGGGGTGCTCGAGTCACACCGCTGGGCTTCTGAAAAGGATCTCCGAGGTGGGCTCCTCCGGGGTGGGGCTGCAAACCCTCAGTTGCCCAAACACAGCTCCCTGAGAACCGAGGAGGCGCCGGGGCGCAGGACGGGGAGCTGAGCGGGCCCCCTGACAGCAGAGACGGGGAGCAGTTTAAATCACCAGCCACCCCACGGATACTTGGGAAACCCCCTTTAAGGAAGATGCCAAACTCAAAAGAAATCAAAGCCAAAACTACGTTGGGGGAAGGAACGGAGCCACGAAGCCATGCAGCTCGAAACCGGCCAGCTGACATTCACCACCTGGCTGCGCGCGGCTGGAAGGCGCGGGCGGGAAGTACCTGCGGCAGGCTGGCACTGGCTGCCTTACTGGGCGTCTCGGCTGTTCCTAAGTCTGCCTCTAACTCTGTCTGGCAGAGGTTGAGCTCTTTCTCTAGATTAGTCTGGTTCGAGAAAGAAAAGACGGAAAAGAGTATTTTAGTTTAGAGGACAGGCAGAGAGAGGGGGAGGTTAAGTTTGAAAAATGAAACTTTTTTCAGTGTTATATTTTAGTAAGGCAGAGATGGCATGATTAAACATAAGAGCTCACTGGGAGATATTTAAAGGCATGAGAACAGAGAATGCAACATTAGCCATAGAAAATGTAAACCCTGAAGTAATCAGAGCTCCAAAACTCTATTCTACTTGCAAAAGAGAACTACAAATACCGCAAAAACCTACCTGTGAGGAAATACCTATTTTCTCTCTTTTCAGAGTCTGGTGACTGTGATAAATATTATTATGTCAGAAGAATAAGTCCTTGTTTTTAAAAAAAACACACCTCTAAACATCAGTATATGTCTTAGAGACTTTGTTAAACAGATTTATCACCAAGCCAAAAATAATTTAAAAAAAAAAAGTTATCAAGTTAAAACAAAGGGATTTAAGAAAAGAAAAGAAAAACCCCACAGCACACTCACACTAACCAGGCTAGAGCACACACACAGCCCACGGAGTTTGCACGGAATTACCTTTCTATCCTCTCTAGGAAGGATAGAGCAGTCTCCAGGAGTATAATCCCATATCTTTTTGGGAGGCTGATGGGAAGCAGAGGAGGAAATGGAGAAATGAGCATAAAGACAAACACGGGGACCGGCTCAAACAAAGAGGGGCACACAGGAGAACTCATCACACAGAGGTGAGCTAAAGGCTCGGGCTGGGCACTAACAGGGAAGTTCATGTCTATGCCTCTGTCTCAAGGGCAGATCATTGCTGGAGTCCAAATATTGAAAACTTAAAAGACACAAAGGAAAAAAAAAAAAAAAAAAAAAAAAGCATTAACACCAATTTGAACCAAATAGAAACTTTAAAATTCCTCATTATTCTTTCCAGACTAAGGCTGACACCGTGATTCTACATGTTTGAAGCAGTCTTCTCCACTGGGACATGCGTGATCTGTTAATAAACATGTGAGTTGAGAGATCTGGCCAATGGTAAATTGAATGAAATGTGTTTTCTGTGGCAACGAAACCCAGGTACAAAACGGGTGTTAAATTTTGCACTGTGTACTAGACGATTTTAAAATCTTCCACTGTTTAATTAGACTTGGTTAACACGGTCAGCGGTAGAGCCATACCCTCCGTGTCCCTTAGAGAACAGGGCTTATACTCTGAATTTAAACAGCGGACTGCCAGATTATTTTTTTTCTCTTTTAACTCTTCAAGATAGAATTGGAGTTGCATTCCTGAAACCTGCCGGGAAAATGGCTCTAGTGAGGAAGGGATTCGAGCAGTAAGACATCCAGAAGTTACAAGCCACTTCTAACTCTGGAACCTCTCCCCCCTCAAGGGGACCATCTTGTTCTGCCTACTCAGATGGGATTTCTCATTCAGTGACCTCTGAGGAGATGCGGTCATTCATAGCTCCTGGAATTGTATGCACATTTCATTATAACCAACCGCAGAAGCAGCATTAAGATTGGTTTACATTGTGACATTCTGCCTTGAGCTTACTTATAGAAATCATATCAATTTCTGTGGCAATTGGGGGAGGGAGAAGCTGACACCCAGGCTCTTTGTAATAAATTTGCAAGTGAAGTCATCTGATTTCAAGACACATTCACCACTGAGAGCAACAGGTCGGTAATGTGATCTCTGTGGGTGTATATTCTGCAATTTATCAAGGAAGTGTTATTAATGACCATCATTCTTCTTTAAGCACTTTATACACTTCATAGACTGTTCACAGGGGGAAGCAGACTTTTTAAAGTCACGTACGATACCCCTACTCGTTCATTTACCGCAAAAAAATAAGACTGCTCACACATTAAATTGGTTTTAAATAACCTTCCCAAAATGGTCCCTGGAGTCTCGAATGATTTAATATTCCACGGCAACCTATTAGAGCTAAAAGGTATTACGGTCAGGATCTTGCTGAAATTTCAGCGTGTTCTGGGCGGCTTCCAGCGTGAATGTCTCGTGTGAATGTTCGGCAGGCTTCCTCGCTTGGGGGCCCTGGGCTGGTGTCAAGTAAAAAGAAATGATGATCCTACGCATTGGTAGGAGCTTTCATTTCATTCTGCTTCTGAATGACTGGAAAACCTCAGAAAACAACTCTCATGGCTTATGCCACTTTTATGTCTGTCTCTGACCCTTTTATGGCCCAGAGTGACTGGGGTAGGGGAGCAGCGAAGGCATTTCTCCCCAGTACACCTTCTTCCCAAACGCTGGGAGTAACGTCCAGTCACTACACTTGGCTCCGCCGGGGATGAGCCCACCCTGAGAATGCCTCTGACTGTAGGAACCGTCCGTCTCAGCTCTGTTCTTCAGGACAGACAGCGATTCAGTTATTTTGGAAAGTCTTCAAAAGTATTATCTTTTATTATTTTAAAAGACCCATTTAAGGACTCTAAGGCCCATGCAGGGAACACTCATGGCTTGAGAGAGAATGACATTTTGGAAAACCATCTCTTTAAATAATTGAGAGGCACTTAGAATAATAGGGTAGGGATACAAATTACAGGAAGGTCCCGAAATATGAATGGACTGTGTTCCCCACATTTGCCTGGATGGCTGTGGGGTGCTCAGACCAGTTTCCAGTAGGAACAGTGTTACTTCAGCAGCTCTTCAGAGAGCCTGTTTAATGTAGGCTGGGACGGAAATCCTGTCTATTGCTGAAAAAAACCACAATCATTTGCAATGACAGGTTTAGCAAAACAAACCAATCACAATTAATTGGAAAAAAACTGTTTCATAACGTTTCCTAAATGCTAATATTTAAGAGAAAACTAATTTAGTTATTTGGCCAGTGAGGAGATGGCTAGACATTTGTGGCTTCTGAAGGGGACTTCAAAAGTCAACGCCACAATTGCTTATACACAATTTAAAGCTAATAGCTTTGTTTTCCGTGATGGAAATAGAGTATCATTATATATACCAATCCTGGTCTTTGTGGGGAGAGAGGGGTGGAACTAAACATATCAAAAGGTTTTTCTGAGATAATTGAGGTTTTAAGAAAAAGAAAAGGGTTAGCATACTGTTAAATGTTTGCAGGTGGAAGAGTGCCTGGGGTAGACTGAATGGTGGACAGCAGAGAAAAAAAGGGAGAGGAAGGGGAAGCGAGGTGTGTATCAAAGCTTTGGGAGGGGTGGGAGATGGGTACTTTGGGTTAGACGCGTCCCTCTCCACTGGTCACTAGGTGGCGCTGTTCACCCAGGACAACTGAGCTACTGTTAGGTACCAGTGTGGAAGGAGGGAGGAGTGTCTGTTCTACACGTAGGATGTTTGCCAAGTCAGGTGCTCCTCTCAGAAGATGCAGGAACTTTGAAACAAAGCTCAGCATTGAAAAATCAACTCAGCAATCCCACAGCACCAGCTTAATTTGTCTTTGTCTTCATCTTAATAAAAATACACACATGGAATTTAACATTTTACTGAACTATAAAGTTAATTCCTGTCTGCAGATAAAATTATCATTCCAAACCACAGTGATTCAAATAGTGGATTCAACGCTTAAACAAACATCCAACAAAACGTTTTATTTTTATACACTTAATCCCCCTACCTGTAAATTCTTTTTTTGCAGTTGCCATAATTTAAAGTAACTGGAGTTTAAAAGTCAGTTTCCAGTCATCTCCAGTGGAAAAATGAGCTCAGTTCTCCCTTTGGTTAGCTATTCCTTTGGGTGCAGGGCTAAGAAAATCATCCTTTAAGTGCCCCAAATCAATCTGTACTGAAGCCAGCTCAAACACATCAGAAGGAGGCTGCAGAATATTATTAGGCCGAACACTAAATTTGCTAGAATTCTGAACTCCCATTTCAAAATCTGGGAAATATTGTCCTAACTCCTGGAGCTCATCCCCTAAGCCACCTGCAGTGGGCTGTATTCGTGGATCACATGTGCACAGAGAGCCTTCTTGTCTGGCGTTGGCACTTCCCTCGCATGTGTGCTTTTAAAAACTCTATCTAAGGCAGTAGCAATGCTGGTCTGCCTGGTGTATAATGCATTTTCCTGCTTGTCTTCTGTATGCCGTTGACTTTGGTCGAGGAACGGAACCAAGGGCCAATACAATGCCATCCACAGACACGGGAGATTTGTTGCCAGTGGTGGGAAGTCCTAAGACAAGCAAGGATTTAGTCGTGTCTCTCGGGGGTCTTCTGGCAAGAAATACTGCCAGGGCTCACTGTTCTTTCGTGGTGAAGTAAAGGAATGGAAAGCTTACAGGCTGTAGTGAGACTAGACAATCCCACTGTCGACCACCGACACAGTGCTCCCCGCTCCCTGAATTCCTTACAAACAGATCTGATTCTTTAGCAGCAACAACATGATTTTTTAAAACAATGTCTATAACCACTGAAGCTATTAAACTTACCGGTTTCCCAAACTCCAATTCCGAAAAGAATTTATACCAAGGTTCATTCTTTAAATCTATCTCTTCTGGGCTTATATCCCGACTCTATAGGGTTGGTGACAGGGAAATGGAAGAGAGAGAAGGATAACATTATGCAGAGATTACACAGGAACAGGCCAGTAGAGATGCAGTGGTTTCCAGATATCACAGCAACTGCATTCAACAGCAGCAATCGTCTGTTTTTTACTGACACTGGCAAAATCATGACGCTAAAACAGGTGGGGAAGGACGTGTTTATAGGAACAGGGATGCCGAGCTGGGAGCAGTGGGCAGCCCACGCAGCTCTGTGGCAGGAGATGGACTGTGGATGGAGGAGTCGGCACCACCCTGCTGCTCTCCACGGCAAATACGGCTGTGGGGGTCGCAGGATGTCCTGTGCGGGAAAGAAGGCCCTTGTTCTCTCTCTACAAAGAACTACTGGTTATGAGCACATAACCTGGTGAGCACATCAAACACTTAGCTATTTACGCCAGGTGAGCAGAGCAAACACTTTAATGGGCTAGCGCAGTTTTAGTACTTATTTGCAAGGCTGCCTGCGGGTTTTCGACGTAAATGCAAATATTGACACTTTCATAAAAGCCAATTTGTTAATACTGCATCTTTAATGGCACATGAGTAGGTGAGAAACCATGTCCCATACACAGTCAAGTGAAAGATGATATAAGTAAACACAGAGGACACAAGTGAAGAAACATTTTAAACAAGCACCGTGGGGGATGAGCACAGATAGAATATATTTTATGTTCTAACAAATAGATGTTAAAGAACTGGGAAAAATTAAAGCGAGGGAAAAGCTGAACAAGACAGATAACAGAACTACAGGGCAGGGAAAAACTTCTGGGTTATGTTACAAAAATAAGTTAGATTTCTCACGTTACAGAACTCTGAGAGGGAGTTCACACAGACTGGCCATTGATTCCATGGGAGCTCATTTAATTAAATATTTATAAAGTTCTGGTACCTTGCTCTGTGGAATAACGTGTGTTTCTGGAAATAATTAGTTAAATATGAATGCCTGGAAAGCAAAGCAAGTTTCCCCTTAATAAACTGGATGTGTTCACATCAGACAAAGTGTTAGAGGCCCATGGCTTAATTAAATTCATGTATGTATATTTTTTAAAACACCTTGATCGTTCCGAGAGAGAGAGGCGGTGATTTTCTGGTAACAACATGAAATAGGAAATGTATATTTTCCACTGAGACTGGAAACAATACATAAGAAACGTCCCTCCCTCGGGCCCAGCACACGAGGAAGGGGCTGCGAGGCCCACGGAGATGTCCACGCGCTGCTCCCACGCAGCTCCTCCCGGACACGGTTTCCATGGTGCTCACTAACGGGCCTTTCGCAGCCTCATGGCTGTGAACTTTCTTAGTGACCTTCATCAATCCCCTCTCCTAACATCCTTAGAAGAACCTTTACCGTTATTTCTTTTTATTTTTTAAATCCTCACCTGAGGATATTTCCCCATTTATTTTTAGACAGAGTGGGAGGGAGGGGGAGAGAGAGAGAAACATCAATGTGAGAGAGACACATCCATTGGTTGCCTCCTGCACGACCCCAACCAGGGCCGGATGGAACCGCAATCAAAGTATGTGCCCCTGACTGGAATCGAACCCGAGACGCTCTGGTCCGCGGGCTGATGCTCTACCTGCTGAGCCAAACAGGCCAGGGCCCTTTACTACTATTTCTAGTTTTGTTTTAAATGGAGGAAGATGTAGCAGAGAACTTCTCTTTAACTGAAATTTACTGAATATAAATTAGGTGAAACCAGGGGGAAATGTCCAGATTAAAACCTCCCGCAACTGTCTTCAGGGACTTAGGGTGAAAAAATCTCGAAGGAGAAGCCAAGCCCCTTCTCAGTGGATTCTGGAAGCACGTAGAATAATGGCTTCTGGACTTACTCAGGGAAATGAGGCCCAATACCCTACAAGGACACAACTATTCAGGAAAAACAGTTAAGATACTGGGACATCCTAGCCCCTTATACCACGGGGTTTCATGAAACCTACTTCGTGTTTGTTATTTTTCGAGACTATTTATAAGCTGCTCTCTGGGAACAGATTAGGCTTTAAAAAAAAAAAAAAAAAAGTACCAATTCGTTCAGGAAACTGCCTGAATGCGTTGGTACTCAGTCCTGGAAGAATGAACCCATTTCATTGCCGAAAGTTATCTGCAGAGTGTTCCCCTGCTGAGCTGAGGTCAATCCGGTGCCAAGAACTGAAGCAGGAGATGTGTTGACCATCTCAGGCTCAGGACTGCCGGCCTCGGTACCCCAAGCTGCCCAGAGAGAAAGTGGAAGAGGTAGCCAGCCACACAGCGCCAGCATCTGCATTTGATCTTGCCGTTTATGACTAGCTGCAGATCCAGCCGTGGGATGGAGAGAGCAGAGGCCCTTCTGGATGCACAGCAGGTCTGGGGCTGGCAGCTCAGCTCTCTGCCGTCGGGGACCCTGCTCTTCCCAGCTGGGCAGAACCCGCGGGCAGGGCAGGGGCCTTGCCAGGAAAATGCCCGGTTCTCCTCAAGCAGTGTTGTTGCTTGAACAGCAGTCAGAGACCAGCTTCTAAGGTGGATCAAACAGTGACCTGAATGCGGGGCGCTCACTGGCACAGTGCTTTCTACTGCTCGGGGTTCCTCGCCCACGTGGCTGCGCTCGGTCCTCGCACTCACGACCTCAGTGAGGTCGGCTGGCCTGAGAGTACCTCTGGCTTACAGACGAAAACACTGAGGTTCAGACAGGTTGCAGGACCTGCCCCAGGACTCAGGTCACCCGAGTCCAGTGCTCTTCACCCCACCCTGCACTCCCCTGCTCCCCAAGAGGAGGCGTGGACTCGCTCGCTGTGCAGGTGACACCGAGCTAAATGGGGCCAAGGGACAGACTCGAAAAGCCAGCAAGGAACTCAAAGTGACTGTGAACTGGAAAGAACCCAAGCTGGGTAAATCCCTTATTTTACACTTCCAGATATACACTATGTAATTACTGCGTCTGGGTCTGTCCTCGCCGCTACCCCCCAAGGGAGCAGGGACCGTCTAACTCAGGCCTGGGCACGTGGAAGTGAGTCTACCTACACTTGCTGAATTGGCCGAAGTCCTGTAAGGACTTGCTGAAAGTAAAAGGAACGGAGCCTGAAGAGGGCGATTTCTGACTGACCAGGGACTGACCACTGATCAGCATGTCCAAGGCCAGAAGAGAAGAAGATGAATCACACGGTGGTCAGACGGGCCAAGTCAGTATGAAGAACTTCACAGCATTTTGTCAGATAGCCGAACAGGTCATCGAAGCCGTAAATCCCCTGTTGGGATGTTGGGAGATGGTATATGCAGTGTTTTATCTCTGGGATGGTTTGTGTTCGCTCCAGGGACAAGGCAGCCTTACGGTCTGCCATCCAGCCCCTCCTGCAAGCAACGGGCAGGCATGCCAACGAGACCGCAATTTATGCCAGGCTTAAGCAGACATGAGTACCTCAAAGTGTGTGTGTGTATGTGTGTGGGGGGGCATGTTTTCTCCCCGCAAAGGAATTGTGTAATTCTGAAAGCAAATTTAGATTCTACGTCTGTTGCTAGTTCGTATACTCATCCACAGTTAGTGTGTGTGTGTGTGTGTGTGTGTGTGTGCGCGCGTGTGCATGAGTGGTGGTGACTGGGGAGGGGGACAGTCCTCAAATTCTGGCAAACCAGAGACTAATGGCAAAAGGCAAGACCCACACACTGAAACTCGCGCTCCAGCCTTTCTGTTTAAGAACAGTAGAAAAATAAATCAAACATAAAGGATGAACTCAGCTACTGTGAAGAGCTGACTGAAAAGGTGAGGATGTGACTGAAATTTCTCTCTAAAATCAAAGACGTCTCTTCGGGGGGAGAGTGAGGGACAGGCACTCTGAGTTGGTGTGATGGTCCCGTGGGCGTCTGTCCCTGGCCTGGCTGCCCAGGCCCTGGTGCAGCACAGGGCTTCCTGGGAGGGGCCCTGACACCTCGGCGCTGCAGTCCCCGGGCTGTCACCACCGCGCTCCAAAGAGAGCCCACGGGCCCTTCGTGTTACTTCTCCGGGTTTGAGAGGACGACAGAGATGGTCCTGAGGACCATGGTACGGAAAATATTGGAACCATGGTGGTATCAAGGAGAAAAACAAAACTAGGTTGTTTTTTTCCTAGTTCTGAATAGTGGTCAAATTATTAGGAACCAAGGAAAGGAGGAGAAAACAAAGAAGAAATTAAGAAAAGGGGCCAGGCTTTGATAAAAGCAACGGCCGTCTATGACCAGTAATAGCGCCCACGCAGCCTCTGAGAGCGATCAAGTGCGCGGACCCGTGGCGGTGTCGACTTGTGACCCAGACACAGCGATATACCCGGAACGCGGCCTTCTTCCCAGGAGCACCCGGGGGGAAGGTGCCTTCTGCGGTTACCATCTTCCAGCAGGGAGAGGACCCACCGAAGGGTGGAGCCAGGGGCAGATTCCCGGCTCCTCTCTGCACTCTTGGCAGAAAATAACCGCGGCACAGAAAGTGCCGAAGAAGGACAACTCTGAAGCATTTCTGCAGACTGCTTGATCCTGGTTAAAATCATGATCCCTTTGTGCTTTTAAGGATGCCACCTTTTTATTTTAGTCAAAGTCAAATCAGTGATTCTTTAAAAAAAAAAACAACAACACAGAGCAAGAGAGGCAGAGGGAGAATAATTTGCCCCCTCTTTCAGAGGCTTACTTACGCCCTACTCAGTGTGGTCAGAGCATTTTAACAGAATGCAGTTCCCAGCGTGCCAACCCCGTCCTGCTGACACGGCTGGAGGGCCGCCCTCCACGAGCTGTGCAGAATCCCTGGAGCCACGGTCAGAATTCTGAACCAGCTTTTTCAAAAGCAGGGTGGATAAAGGAAGTGTGACTGGCAGACAGGAAACTAATCGGTTTGTAAAAATTCTTCCCGCCTTCACAGAAGAGGCTGCTTTTCCAGGGTGGTCTGCTCTGCCCTACAGGTCATTTCTCCACTTATAACTGCCTGGGCATGTGAACTTTTCAGGGAACCATAAACCAGACCGAACAGGAAAAGCATCCCCAATACTACTTGTCAGAAAACAAAGACCTGAAACACATATTTTAACAGCCTGGGGCTTCCCTGCCCCCCTCAAATCACAGCATTATATTAATTATTTAGCTTTTAATGATGTACTAAAAGTAGCTTCTACAAAATTTATGCATGTTCAAATAAGAGTCACTTAAAAACAAAACAAAACCCAAATTTAGTCCAGTTAGTTATAAGCCTGCTAAATTAATGGTTAGATGTTTTTAAAAAAGACAGCAACAAAATCAATCTTTATGTTAGCAGACAATTCTAAATTAGTTAAAATCACGTACAAAAAGCACCAGAAAGCCACAATACGAGATTCTTTCAAAGCAAGACACTCAGGACTTATTTTATGAACACCTGCAAAAATGAAAAGGGTAAAAAACACTTCGTTTTTTTTTATTGTCTTCTAAACAAAGCAAGTCTGTCTCACGGGGAGAAGAATGCAACCCAAGTGCACAACGCGCTGGGATTAACGGACACGGGCGGGTGACACAGAAGGACTTGAATATGCACATTACCATCTTTTCGTTGGTCAGAACGGAGGACTTGCCCGGCTGATACTCGTAAATGCTTTTGGGCTCTGCACGGTATTTCCTTGTATCCACCTTCTTATCTGGGGGTTCCCAGTCGTTTCTGTAGAAAGAAAATCCTATTAGAGCTATTTCCATGAAAACTGGCACCCGACACGTCTGACTTCGGCTGACGGTAGTCTAATCAGGGATTTTTTTTATATCCGAAGCATAAAATCAGACTCGGCGCAAAGCATTTAGTTGTGCTGGTTCCCTTCTCCAAACAGCCCATTGAGGCTCTGTGTTTGCTTCACAAAAGGCCTGAGGTGACCAGGTACCAGGACGCAGCGAGAAGCAGAGAAGGGGGGAAGCAGCAGCAGCAACGCTTGCTCTGGGAACACCCTTCACCTTGCTCTGCCCTCCCGAGCTTATCCTTCCCCAAACATGTCTGCACTTCCCACTCATGCTAGTGCAGGAGAGAGAACGCAGCGGCAGGGCCAGCCAGCTGTGGTCCCAATCCCGGCAACAGTGCCTGCTAGGTAGTGATCCAGGTTGAGCACTTTCCCTCTCGCTACCTCAGTTTTCTCATCCGAAAAATGGGGTTGTTGCAAGGATTAAACAAGACAGTGCATGTGAATCACCAGGTCCACAGTCACCACTCAATAAATATTATCTGCTATTATAACCACATTGTTGCCTATTCCAGTCTGCCCCAGGAATCAATCACCCAAATCGCAGGTTTCGGCACAGATATTTAACCTGATCCAGTGGTGGGTTTAAGGGGACACAAGGATCCTTGGAAATTGTTTGCAAAATGTTTATGCCTGTACATTACTGCATTTGCACTGTGATTATATTTAGTTTTTCCTGCAAGGATATAATCCTCTCGGAGGCAGAGACAATGATTTATATATGCTTACTTTCCCCCACAGCATCTGGTTCCATCTGCGCACAGAATGCACCCGGTTTGATGAATGCACCCGTAAAGGATTTATAGGTACACCCCACTTTCCTTTCACATTAATTATCAAACTCCTCAGGCAGATGCCACTTATGCATGTGTGGGACTTTCAAAACAGCCATTCGTGCGTCTGTGAAGATGGAAAAGGTATGAAGGTGTGAAACTGAGCGTGTCTTTTGGGGAAAAACAATTCGATTTGGTCGGAGCCTTCACTGTGCCGAGAAGTGGTGGGAGGTGCATGGACCCCCGTCCAGACGGCATGAGGAGGCTGCTCCACGGGGCGCGAGAACCCACGAGGGTGGTGAGAGATGACTAACGTCCCCATCACAACCAATCCAAGCCTTACGTCTCAACGATATGTGTTGCATAAATAAACTGATACTAAAAAGTGTGGCGTCATACTCACATTGTATTCTCTGCCACGGGCTCCAGTGGTGTACACACAGAGTATAAAAACACAGGACACATCTAACAGCTAAGATTTCTCTTGTGAAAAGGTAGAAAGCGACGGTAGTTATCGTCAACGTTAATGAAGCCCATACTGTGAGCCAGGCACTTAGAGATGTCATATGAATTATCTTTCCTATCCTTGCAACATCCCTAACCAATGTAAAATTTACCCCCCTTTTAAAGACAAGAATACTGAAACTCAGAAAGAGGAAGTCACTGCTGGTACAGGACAGAGGAGGGCTTCCAGAGCTGCCGCCGGATTGGCAGAAAGCGTGGGCCGGACTGCGTGGGCCGGACTGCGTGGACCAGGCTGCGTGGGCCTCTAGTCCCAGCTGACTGCGGAGCGGGAGCACCTACCTCTCTGGGCTCGATTTCAGCGAGGAGGAGCGGGCCGGGAGGGGAAGCGTGGCTGACCTCTTCACTACCTTCTCGCCGTCAATGTAGCTCATCTCACTTTTTGAGCGAGGCACAGAGAGGGGAGATTTGGCTGGAGAAGAAAAGTGGGTACAAAAGGCTTAAAACGGATGAAAACGGAAAAAGGGGAGATGTCTTCTCTTATCCAACACCCGCCTTCTTCCCCCACGACCAGGAAATTCCAAGTCACTTACTGTCTTCAGAAAAGGAGTAGCGAGGAGAGTAGAGATCTGAATCATCATCTATTGAACAAAACAAAATGTAATCAGGAGAAATCGGCTGAGGGAGGGAAACGAGCCGCGTGCCCCTCACGCCCGCCGTCCTGGCATCCAGCCACACGGGGGCCCAGCGGGGGGAGGGAGCTAAGCGAGAGGAGCCCACCCCCCAAACAGAACCCGCAGGCCGGGAGGTACATTCACACCGGCCCAGACATGACCACTGCCTGACTCGGAGAAGCAGGATCGTCCTCAAGAGACTCTGCCAGCAGAGCTGGAACAGGGGCCCCAGCCGGCTGTGTGGGGAGCAGGGCTGAGATCCCTCCCTGGGTGCTCCCTGAGCCTCTGGTCTAGCCTGAGTTCCTCGGGGTCCCCCAGGCCTGCTACTGGGTGGGGGTGGGGGGCAGAGGTGTGTTTTCTAGCTCCCCACCTTAGCTGTGACCTGTTTCATAGGCTAAGGTTCCCTGCACAATATCATTTAGCAAACAGGTTGCTGCTAGAAAACAGTTTGAGAAAACCGTCATTATGTTTTCACTCCACCCCACCCTGGTTCTTTGAGTGTCTCTTTCCTCGGAACACAGCACACCTGTCGCAGACGCCGACATTGGCTGGCTCCGCGAAGGACCGCTGGGCAGGGTCTGCACCGGCTCCGAGCAAGTCAGACCCACGGGTTCCTGTGGGATGGCCCTCCCAGGGCACGACACACGTCCCCGAGGAAGCTGAGCTGGGCTCTGAGACTGGGGACCCGAGATGAGACCTAACCCTCGTGGAAGTGGCCGCAATGTGCTAAAACCGAGACTACAGGCGCAGCCACGGGAACAGAGTCCACAGCCGGCAGCGTCCTGAAAACTGCGGGCTGGTCAGTCACCATGCCCGCCAGACCCCTCGGGGCGTTAGGCTGAAACAGCCGGCCTTTCCCGGTTCCTAAGATCCTGCTAACCCAAATTCAGAAGTCATGAGTGTGGACTGAAGACCCAACACCTTCCTTAAAACCTGTAGCAACTTGGACAAAACCAAACCTGAAAAGACAAGTCAAAGAATCCAATATGTGTTAACGACTGAGTGTTAATCAAGGCCTTGTCTCTACAGGGATCACTTTTAGTTTCAGAGCAGTAAAGGTCAGAATATTTAGTGCAGTGTCAATAAAGCACACACTGCTACATTGTGAGTCAAGTGCTAGGCAGGCAGCCTATCACCCCTGCCTCTCCCATTTTATCTGTTCCAGGTCTCCCCCAGCCCAAATAAAGAAGTCATCAGGTACCAAGTTCTTTTTCCCCTCCCTCCCTGTCCGTCTTTTTGCTTTAAGGATAGGGTGAGTCCACATCAAAGCTGAACAGGACCTAAGGTTCTTTTACCCACCCAGCCAAGACTTTCCCTGCTATAAACCGAATCTGTAAACTTGCCCTGGCCAGTTTGGCTCAGCGGTTAGAACGTTGGCTCACAGACCAGAGTTGTGGGTTTGATTCCGGCCAAGGGCGTGTACTTCGGTTGTGGTTCGTTCCCGGCCCTGGTTGGGGTCGTGCGGGAGGCAACCAATGGATGTGTCCCTCTCACATAGATGTTTCTCTCTCTCTCTACCCCCCTCCCAATCTATCTGAAGATATTTGAGAAAATATCCCAGGTGAGGATTAAAAACAAAACAAAATCCTGTATCTCTCTGAACCATGGAGAAATTACAGTCTATCTCTAGATGGTAAGGTGAGGGTTAATGTCTTCCTTTCTTTTTTTTTTTTTGCAGTTTTTGTTAATTTATTTTTGTTACAGATGTTTCTCCTTTTTCTCCCCTAGACACCCTCCTCCCGATCTCACCCCCACCCCAGCACTGTTGTCTGTGTCCACTGGTTACGCCTACATGCATATAAGTTCTTTCGTTTATCCCCCACATCCCCCTTCTACGGTTTGCCAGTCTGAACTGTACTCCTTTCTGTGTCTCTGGGTCTATTTTGTTCATTATATCCCACAAATAAGTGAGATCATGTGGTATTTGTCTTTTTCTATTGGCTTATTTCCCTTAGTATAATACTCTCCAGGTCGGTGAAGATTAATTTCAAACTATTACCTGTTCTTGAGATAAAAGGCAAACGAGGAAGAAAAAGGGGTTTAAAGATTCAAATTATTATTATTATTATTTTTTTATCCTCACCTAAGGACACTTTTCGATATTTTGTTCAGATAGAGTGGGAGGGAGAGAGAGAAACAGCGACGTGAAAGAGACACATCGAGTGGCTGCCACCTGCACGACCCAACCGGGGCCGGGGACAAACTGCAACCGAGTTACATGCCCTTAGCGGGAACCGAACCCGGGTCTCTCTGGACCGCAGGTCGACACTCTAACCGCTGAGCCAAAACGGCCAGGGCTCAATGAATTTTTTTTTTTTTTATCCTCACCCGAGGACATTTTTCCATTTTTTGTTCAGGTAGAGTGGGAGGGAGAGAGAGGAACAGAGAGAGAGAGAGAAACATCGACGTGAAAGAAACCCACCGAGTGGCTGCCACCCACACGACCCAACCGGGGCCGGGGAAAAAATGCAACCGAGGTACGCGCCCTTAGCGGGAACCGAACCCGGGTCACTCTGGACCGCAGGCCGACGCTCTAACCGCTGAGCCAAACTGGCCAGGGCTCAGTGAATTTTTTTTAAAAGCCTGAGCTCTTCAAAAATATTCTCTCTCTAGAGCTTTCTAATGTGGACTTTCAGATTTTTAAAAGAAATTTTAATCCCCACCCAAGGATATGTTTAGAGAAAGGAAGAGAGAGAGAGAGAGAGAGAGAGAGAGAGAGAGAGAGAGAGAGAGAGAGCACGCGCAATGTGAGAGAGAAACATGGGTTGGTTGCTCCCATACGCACCCTAACTGGGGCAACCTTGGTATGCAACCGTTTGGTTCACGGGATGATGCTCCAGGTAACTGAGCCACCTAACCAGGGCTAGAAGATTTGTTGAAAGTAAATGAGAAATATTTCCTATAAGATCAAAAGGATAGTTTGGAGAGTTAAACAATTTACATATGTTGAAACGCAGAAGTAGGAAGGATTGGGGGGTGAAGGCAACAGAGAACACGAATGCCTGACTTCTTGCTGCTGTTTCTTATGTGGGTGGGCGGGAAAAGAACCTCACCCGGCAAGGCTGAGAGGGGCAGGGTGGCTCAGAGCGAAGACGCCCCTCATTCCTCACACGGCGCCCATGGGATCTGAGTGACAGGTGGACTGACGTCCACCAGACTTCTAAGAGGGCAAACTGACGCTGTATGGATTCATCTGAACGTCCAGGGTATCTATAATTTATTCTTCTAATATTTGTGTCTCTCTTGCAGACCTAATGGGAGAAAATTTTACCTGCACTTACGAATAAAAAAATAGCAGCTCCTGTTATTAACTGCCTAACAGTAGCTGGTAATTTACTAATATCATCTTTCTGTAAAAACTCTAGGAAATCCATACATATCTCATTTACAGACAAGGAAATCAAGGCCCAGGGAGGCTAAGAAAATGTGCCCTTATGCTGGAAGTAAGAGACAGAGCAGGAGCGGAGTCAAGGTCTTTCTGCCCTACTTCCCTGTGCGGCTTCTAGGCCCTTGATGGGGATGGGTGCTCTGTTCCATGCTCACCACCCTAGCTGCCCAGGCCTGGGGGGGTGTGGCGATTCCATCGTAACTTGTATTATGCAGGAGACAGAGGGCGTTGTTCTGAAACAAGCCCCGCGCTGCAGTGCCTGCCAGACTGGCTCCTAACCCTGGAGGCCTTTGCTCTGTTTCTCTGCACCATGCCCTCCCTGGCGAGGCTTGAGCAAGTCTTCTGAGTTACCCCACCACACTTCTAGTTTTTCTCCTGCTGGTCCCCAGGGACAACGGGTAAGACTCGCCCTTGCTACATCTCCCTCTTGCTGCTTTTTGCTATCCACTCCGGGCAGGCCAAGTCCACACTGGGGTGGTGGGCATGAAGTTAGGAATACCAATGAATGGGAGAACTGGGTGTAAGGACACCCGGCTGTATTTCTACACATTAGAGTTAACCAAATGGGGAGAGGGGCGGGGTGGACACTGGTTAACCACAGACAAGACACATTGAATAAAACATTTCTCAAGTTGTCCATGAACATAGACATTGTAAGTGGCTGAAATCCTGCCTTCACTCTTTCTCCAGGGTTTTCACAAACAACGCCATGGTGGGCTCAGCTGAGCCGAGATCGTGCGGCTCTTGCCTGTGGCGGAGCCACATGCCGACTGTGCCCCTCAAAGAGGCCAACGTCAAACCTTGGCAGCAACGCCCAGAACTCCCTGTACCAGAGGCTTCCAGGAAGCTCTACCAGTCAGCAGGATTTCCTCGGGGTGAGCAGCGCAGCTCAGGGCCCGAAGGACCCGCCGGGCTCCGATGTTCACACACCGACTCCGCTCTGGGCTGGCAGCTGTTCCGGAGACACGCCAGGGAGCAGCTCCTCACAGCTGCCAGGAGGCACATAAATGCCTTTTCAACCGCAGTGACTTTAAAAATGAACTTTTAAAAAAAGACTATGTTTCAGAAAGAATTAATGACAACTTGAAAGACATTGGTTGATAATGACTGTTCTATAAAAACTATGTAATTGACCAAAATGGGATGATGGGCAAAAAGCAGTATTTGCATAATCACTGTCTATACCAATTACATTTCCATTTTATGCATGTCTTAGGCCTTGAAAGTTCCAACTAGTTTTCAATATCAAAGGCTCATTTTTAACACAATCAATCTTCTTCCTTCTCCTACTTTACCTCCCACGCTTAGGAAGAGAAAGGATAAATGGGTCACGATAGAGGACACACACCACAAACAAAAACAAGCAGAGAAAAAGAGAGGCCTCTGCAGAGGTGGGAGACAAACTCTGGGTGGGATGGAAGATGAGGAATACACGAAAGAGGAAATGGGGCAAGATTTCAGGAACAGTCCAGGGAGCTTGGGGGAAGATTCCTAAAACTGTCTATGTTCTGCTTAAAAGCCACCGAATTTTAAGGGATGGGAAAAAAGATCAATCTAGGGTACAGAGTAACTACAGAAC